TTCTGGTTACATCAAAATTTTAATAAAAACATACACTCCATGTTTTCATCTGTGTAATTTGCTTGAATGAGTATGTGCACCACCTAAATCTCCATACAGAATAGGACGATTTTGATGGAAATTCTAAAACTTGAAAGGAGTCTGTCGAACCAATGGAAATAACTGTATTGAAGCAAAAAGTGTTGTGAAGCTTGCAGACGGAGAAAACAGATGGACACACGGGCATATGCCAAGAGTAACGCCTTTGAGAGAGATTGATGGAGACAAAGGAAAAAAGGCAGAGGCAGACGGACAGAGTGAAATTATAGCACAGGGGGAAAAAAAGGCTTGATATTTTGTGTTGACAAAGACAGATGATTGAATGATTGAAAACACAGGACAACCAGGAAGAGAGTGTCCTGGCTGCATTAATTAAAATTAGAAAGGGGAATGTGGAGAGTGACAGGTAGGTTCGGTGATAAAACTTGCTTGTCCTGGGCTGAATAAATTAGTAGGCATCAGGGGCCATGGTTTGGGTCAAAAGAATGAATTACATGTTGAAACCCTGGTCAGATTCAGGCTCTTCTAGGTTCACCTCTTTGCCTTTTGGCCTCTGGAGGTCACTGAGCATTACTAAGGTCATAAGTCACTCCCAAGTGTAGGGACATTTTTATTACATTAATCTCTTAAGCATGGACCTTTTGATAACAATCGTATTTACAATTAACCATCTTGGTAACTTTATTTATGATTGTTTTGTTGCTTCAGTTTTTTTTTTTTTTTTTTTGCTTCCCTTCCCAGATTCCCTAAAGTTTTTACTTGAAAGGAAAACAATAAATATTTCATTATTCATGGTCAGTTGAATTCCTTAAGTGCCAAGTCCTTTGTAAGAGCGCCTCTCTGGGTTCGAATTGACATGTGCGCCTCTCAGGAGAATGTGCTGGGCTTTAATGTGGGCTGGGAACGAGAGTGCTTGTTGTAGTTTGCACAGTGGGGGTCTAGAAGTCTGCCTGTGGAGGTCATACGAGCAGCCATCACAGGATAAATGCCAGCGAGGGCTCCTGGGTGCGCTGCATGACTGGGCATTTGCAGCAGCTGGAATCCTGTGACGGCACACAGCCCAATCCAGTGAACACAGGCCATAAATTATTAATTGTTTTTACTGTGCAGGAAGATTGGAGGAAACATCCTCTGATGATCTCCTCACTGAATGAGTGGCACACGCTTTGTATCAAATAAGTATTTCATTTTCACCTAGAGGTGCTTTACATCTGCAGCTCTTCCAGGCATCCTCAAATAGAGGTGTGTGAACTTACAGGTTTTCTGGCACTGACAAAAACTGATGTTGCTAAAAAAATTTAAAAAGGGGCTTTCAGTTAGTTTGAATGAGAACAGTAGAGTTTTCGTTTTCGAGTTTTTGTTGAATTCTTACATTTTACCGATTGGCTCCCATACTATGTTCCTGTGTAATGGCACGCGTCCATACTTAATCTCTGTGCTGACTTAATGCTTTTCCAGGAAATGCTAATCGCACTTCATGTAAAAGTTTCACTGGAAGTGGAATTCAAAACAAGCAGCACGGCTCTTCCCAATCTGTCTTGGCTGTTTGCAGTAATCCGTGTGAGCAGCATTTGCCAGGTGGACAGTGACAAGAGTGGAAGAGACAAATGGACTTCAGCCATTATCCTGGTTCCTTATTATGAGACGCCGTGATCTCGTTTTGGGGATTAGAGTTGCAACTAATGATTATTATAATTATAGATGTCAGTTTGACCTCTTCATATTCCTTTTTGAGATATTCCATTTAAAATGAATGTATTGCCTAATTTAAAACTAGAAACAGGCATTAAATTGTTTCATTTGAGAAGCTGGTCCGAGTGAAGCATTTTTGCTTTATAAATAACTTGGACCTATAACAGTTTCTTTTGCCGCTTGAGGGCAGCGCTTTAAACACAGCGAATTTTGTGTAGCGAATTAGTTGCTTCCCACAGACAACGTGTGAGTGCGAATTAGAAATGTAACAATATATCGCGAGACAGTTAAATCACGATACAAGTATGTGAGATGAAAAATGAACCATGATACTCTTTTTAAACAGCAGTCACACCTTTCACATTACATATATGTCATTTGAGCAACTTTAAAGGATTCATTGATGATCAAAATTGTTTAGAATACATTTTCTATTGGATTTATTGGCTAATCATAGACATGAGTATCATCTTACAGGCTTTAAGCGGGTATCATTGAAGGGTTACCCACAGGAAAACATTATGTAATCCCAAACTAGACACATTAAAACACAAGTTATGTCAAACAAGCTACATGCAAGCTGGTCTGTATCTTTCAGTGCTATTGGAGCTCAGCTGTATATAGTTTGGATAAATTCCTGTGGTGAAAGCCTGCGAGTATGGACATGTGCAGCGGGCTGATAAGAGAATAGAGCCAACGTCTGTGTTGCTTTGTTGCACACTTGCGTCAACACATCTGAAGTGACCTTAAATGACAGCACAGAAGCAGCGGGCCACACTGCCGAATTTGTTAGTCAGGTTGAGTTCACAACCCTTTAAAACATTAATTCTCATAGTGTCATGTTCAGTGTATCTTACCTTTGGAAGCAGGTATGGAATTTAAAATTTTTTTGAAGTAACAACATGTTTACCTGACTATTTGTACAATGTGAAATTAAACATTTATGGATTTGTACACAGATTAGTCTGTGGGCATTATATAAACAAAACTGGACGTGGATTATTGGCAAATACACACAGTTTTGTGGCTATTAAAGTTGTGTTTGTCTATACAGTAAATTGAGATCATATTGCCCAGTCTCTGTAGCTTCTGTGGATGCCAGTGTCGCATGCACACATACAGGTGGGAAAATCTGAGCAGAAACTGGACATGGTTTGAAAATCAAGGAGACAGAGCCACACGGGAGCCGAGGGACACGAGGAGAAAGTAGAGGAAATTCCCTGTGATACCTTATCACTTAAAGCTGCTTCCCAGCCCCAAAAAGATGTCTGCAGCATGAAGAATGGGATTGCTGTGAAACTGCTGACCTCCCTGCCACAGTTAGGAGGCAGTGAAGAATACTTGTGATGACGGTGTGGATCTTGACTGCACAGGGACTTTTCAGATTTAACATACTGTATTTACTTTCTGTGTATCCATACTTTCTCACTTTTGTACCACCTACAACTAATGTAGTGCTTCTCCAGTACAAATTTCCCATAAAGCTAAATGAAGATACCAGTGAAGAAACGTGCAATTACATCTTTTTCAGTGGTCAAATCAGTGCAGATTCTGACTTTCTGATCCTCATTTTTCCTGATCTGTTATTATATGTCTCTGTGTGTGTTCGTGTGTGCATTTGTCTGCCCTGGAGGTTGCTTGGCTCTGGTGTGCTCCACTATGTCTGCCAGGAGATCTCATGGACGCCTCAGTGGAGCAGACTCTTAAAAACACTGTTTACCCAAGGAGATTTATTTAAAGTTACAGAGCGGCACAGAGTCTCACTCTATATCCGTTTAGTTGTGTGTATGTGTGTGTGTGATTGTGTGTGTGTGTGTGTGTGTGTGTGTGTGTGTGTGTGTGTGTTACTCACGGTATTTACACATGTGACTATGCGTTGAGATATCCTGAAAACAAGATGTACAAATCGTGGATTGCTGTTAGTGTTTCCTAGTCCTTTTTAACTGCATATAGGATGTTAAAATTTTATTTCATGGGACTATTTTCTCCACAACTCATCCATCATAAACCATGTGCTTTGTAGTCCAACAGTTGTACTACTTGTTCAAAAGTTCTCATTATCTTCCAGATTTTCCCTTGTGACAATGATCAGGTCATGCGTGTACTTGCATCCTGTACTCTCACGAAAGACTCACATGCGTGTCATCTGGATTCAATACACTTTTCTCTGTGGAGCGTTAATCAGACAATACTAATCTTTGACTAATAAACAAAAGGATTTCTTTTTCATGTCATGATGGTTAAACGATTTGTATTCAACATTCACATGCAGAGTCTAGTCTGAATGTCCAGGGATTAAGACAGCTCATGTGAATAGCGGATTAAGAGGGGGAATTTCCATTATCTCTGGTGGTGCCGTCGACTCTGATTGGTATTCCCAAGTGGCACAACTAGCAGCCAGTAGTCAAGAATGGTGGTCGGTCAGTCGGTATGTCTGGCAGTTCAACACGTTGGTCCACAGCAAGGTGTCAACGTTGAGTTTTGCTGTGGCTATTCAAGTACCTCAGTGGAAGGATGTTACTGTTTTTGGTGATCTCCCCCCCCCCATCTTCCCTCTTTAGCCATCCCCAAACTTTTCATCCAAGAAATCTCTAAATTTCTGTAAAATTTTGAGAGCACATTCATGATTTTTGGAAACTGAGGATAAATTGGTTAACTTTCAATGGTCGTCTGATCTTTTCTTTTTTACATGTATGTGTATATTGTTAGCCCCATTCCTGGTATGGCTTTCATATGTCAAAATGTAAAGTTGCTGTTTGTTCCATGCAGCCTCTAGCAGCTTCTAGCAGGCTTTTAGTATTATTTTAGGATGAACTACTCTTTATGGACCTTTTAACTACTTTTGTCAGAGTCTTTGCAGTGGGCTGTTAAGTTGTTTATTGATTTATGTTGATTGCAAAAACCTTGACGTTGGACTGTGTTCCTGGCTACAATGCTTTTGGCATCAGAGCGTGTCTCTGACATTCTGCTGAGTAGATAATTGCTTTTCCCTACAATAAGATGACAGTTTGAAAGATAACAAAAGATGTATGAACTCAAGAGGTATTTTGACAATTGAAAACAGCTGGCTGATAACCAGGCCCATGGAACAATATAACCCTTCTCTTAGGTAATTTACACATAGCATGTTTATACAGACAAAGACAGGAAAACTTGGCATGTTAACTTTTGTGTGTTGCTTGGTTGTTTATGCAGCAATGCAACTCTGCATGTTTGTTGGCGTAAATGTTTTTAGTAAAAATCTGACTTTCTTCTGTTTTTCTGCACAGTACATCAAGATCCCAGCTCCCACACCAGAGTCACCTTCTGCTCTTCGTGTCTTCTCCTTCTACTTATCCAGCGACAGCAAAGACCAACCTCAAGCCAGCTTTGACTGCATCCATCAATATGTTTCAAGGTATGGGGTCAGTCAGTTGAAACTATTTTTATGTTCATGCATTGAAGAGCAGTTCAAGTACTATTTGATTTATTTCTTTTATAAATTTTACACCAAACTCTACCTTTTTCCTGATTCAAGATCCTGTGTCAAGTTCCAGGGAAAACTACCCAGAAATCATTTTTTTCCACATAAATCAGAAAAGGATTTTGGCAAAAATTTACAGCAAAAAATGAATTGAATTGAAGCTTAATTCAGTCAGTCACGGCTATTTTAGGTGCAAGTTTTTTTTATATGCTGGTTGTGGCATATGTGACCCCGGACGATACCTTTCTGGCATCTCTATAGGTCATCAGTCCACCAGCTCTCTGTGTGAGCCCACGTCTCTGAGGACATCATAAGAGACGGTTAGCTCACTGCTTGCTGCATGCAGGATGGGGCAATTGAAATTTCCTGTGTATTTCTGGGCTGACCCTCTCATTACTGAGACCTGTGATGCCTTGTTTATGGAGTGGATATGCTTGGAAACTGAGGGTTGTGCTCTGTTGCTGCCTCCTGCTGCCAGATGGCTAACTGTGGTCAGAACTCAAACTCATTCTGGTTCCAGTCAGCTGCTGGAGCCAAGAGAAACAGCGTAACAGCGTGAGGGCAAGATCCTGCTCTCTCTGCCCCCACATTTATTTTGATATTTAGAGGATAAAGAGGCGAAATGGTCACTGGCCACATGTGTAATTGTGTTGTGAAAATGAGAATGGGATCAAGGGAACCTATTTTTCAGGAAAAAAAAAAAAAAGAGTTTGGCATCACAGTAAATCCTTGATTTATTTAGAGCATTAATGCATCCCAGGTTCATGTATTAAAACTTTTTACTTTTGTCCAAGATGATCCCTGTTTTGCAAGCGTGCTGGCCGGAGCCAAGCTAATCCTGGTGGTTTTCCACAGGCTCTATCCTGCTTTGAACCAGGATATCTGGCTTTCTCACATTAGCAGCCTGCAGAGCTATATCTAGCCTGTGACATAACATACAGTAACCATAGACCTGTCTTAGCCAGCTCCCACCACAAAGCCACTTTATGCTGCATGGAGTCAATGTTGGTATGTTGCTCTAAGTTAGCTTATAGGATATCTTTACAGTGTTGACTGTACAGCCAGCAGAAAGCCCTGCGGTCCAATGGCTCTGTGTTTTTGTCTTGCAGTGACGGCCGTGAGCAGCTGGAAGGTCAAGGCATCATCCAGGACAAGATCACAGTGTGTGCCACCGACGACTCGTACCAGATGACCCGTGAGAGGATGTCTCAGGTGGAGAAGGACAGCTGGAGCCGCTCTGCCATTGAGATCAAACCTGGAGCCACACATCCAAGTAAGAATAGACATGAGGTCTTTGTGGAGCAAAACCAGAGGATCAGAGGATGATACATGTGCAGATTTTCAAGGGATGAGGCCAAACAGCTTTAGGCTTCTGATGGATCAGCAAATTGAATGGCATATAAAAACAAAAATAGAAATATAATAGCACCTATAAAAGTAATGGGAATATTTGCCTCACATGAGAAAATATTGCTGTATTCATTGCTTTAAGCAGAAAGCCAGATATTTTCCTATTTTGATGTGTAATGAAACCAGATGTGCCTGCCTTATTTTGGGTTATACAAATAAGACTAGAAGCTCGCTCTTGTTTCTCATATTTATTATTTTGTACCATTTTTTTAGCTTTTGTTTTTGAGTTTGTTGTTCTGTCTTAATTAGTATTTCCTCTTACATCTGTATTTGTTGGCCAAGTAGAAGTTTTGTATTGGTCTAAGTCAGCAGCATCTGTCTTTGAACCATCATTTCAGAGGTAGAAAGCCAATTCAAATATTTAAAACCAGTTTTTCTCTTTATAGTACTGAAAACTGAAGATGTAACTGTATAACTGTCTTACAAAGATAAAATATTAGCTTGATAGGGTATAACTATTTTTTTTCAGCAAATTACTTTTCTCTCACAAACTTGCAGAAATGGCTCACTGTTGTTGCAAATGTATCACAAGCCTCTGATAAATGGTTTTGCAACAAAACTGAATAGCATACATTCACAGGTGATAGGTTGTTGCTGCATTTGAATTTTGACTGTTTTTTTTTTCCAACAAATCTTGCAACGTTGGCCAGAGTTGTGTGTCTGTGTTTGTGTGTGTGCACACTCTCTGATATTAATCATCAAGGATAGCTTACAGCATATTAATCATATGAGAAGAGACATGAACTGGCAAGCTACTTATTTTTTTCTTTTCTCCTTTTTCTCTTCACCAACCTTTGCCGTGGTTATGCAATATTGTTTCTTGGCATGATTCTGGACCCCTGTATCAGTGCTGGAGCCCCAGGGAAGCTGAAACTCCGGGTGGTTTAGACCAAATTTAGACTGTGTGGATTGTGCAACATCAGGTCTTCAGGTGGAGATGACTTAGCAACATATAACATATGCCTGTAGGGAAACATTTAATATCTGCACTCTATATTCCCCTTCCAGCCTCAGGGGGTGCTCATGAACAGTGCATATTATCAGGCATGCCAAAACCCTATCAAGCATGATTCTGACACTCCATACTTCCTATACCCTAACTGTTACGTAATTCTGTGTATTGTTATCATGATTAATGGCTGCTAGAAGAGTAATGATAATGCATATAGTTATTATCACTTGGCAGGACATGCTTTTGTGGTTGAAAGGAAAGCCTTATTTCCCTCTACCTCTACCCCACTCTGACCTTCAAAGAGCAGATTAACCTGTAATGGGCTTAGCACAGAGAGATAGCTTTCTCTGCTCCAACATGCCCCATCTGTCTGCAACAGAGATGTAAGCAATGATCTATGGGGTGTTTACATGTGAAGACAAATAGCTGCAGGCCAGCATGTACATGCGATCTAGAGGTAAAGGTTAGTACAAGATATTTTAATGAATGTTTCCCCATTACTCAACCAATTGTCAAGATGCACCCTAGAGAGTATGTACATATGTTGAATAGGTAAAGTGAGTGGTGAGAGAGTCTGACTTTAACTCTTGTCTCATGAAGTTTCCTTTTTTTATGCTCGCACAAGACATTTCACTCAGTTCCTGTTGTACATTTTCCTTGCACAGAGTTTTAATGTCAGTAAATTTCTAAGATTAGATTTTTTTGTGACTTACTGAGACCTATTTAAAGGGAATAATGTGTTTTTCTACCAGTTTGGGAGCAATGTAATACAAATACAACAATAAACTGTTTGACTGAGTAACTTTTATTCATAAATCTTGTTCTTTCTATCTGCTTTTTTGTACGTTTAGGTAAATGCGTGAAGTTCCACAAGAGGCCAGTTTCTCTGTCTGCGTCAGACAGCAGCTTCCATAAGCAGTCTACCAACAATCGGAGGAACAGTGGTATGGCCACGGCAACCCAGAAGCCCTTGAGGGAGCGCATCATCCACCTGCTAGCTCTCAAACCATACAGGAAACCGGAGCTGCTGCTGTGGCTGGAAAGAGAAAGGGCCAGCCCCAAGGACAAGGCTGACCTGGGGAACATACTGGAGGAGGTACGCAGAAGTGGTGTGTGTGTGTATGTGTATGTGTATGTGTGTGTCTGTGTCTGTGTGTCTGTGTAAACATGCACATATATAAACACTTCCACGTATGCATATACACATATCTGACCTTAGGAATCCTAAACAATGAATGCTGTTGCTTGTGTGTGTGCCTGAGCACACCGCCTACACATAAGAGCATACTTATTTATGTGCACACACGTAAACATTTTTCTGTCTGGTGTATTAGGGTGAAAACACAACTGAGCATTGATGTATAATAAACATCAATAGTATACACTAACACAACACAACAAGTCATTGCTTTCAATTTCTCAAAGATGATAATGAACAGCATTTATTCCTAGTATACTAGTAGCAACAAGTACCAAAGTTTCACACCACCCTTTCCATTCAAAACAACAAACCACAAAAAAGCTACATTTTGGCATTTTGGCAGGGTTGAATATGACTATTTAAAAGTATATATGACCAAAGAGCTGAAAAGTAGAGATCTACATTCCAGTTATCAAACATATAATCATGTACTGAAAGAAACCAGGGGCCAGTTGTACTTTAATTGAGCTTGTTATCTAATTTAGAAAGGTTTACTTTATATGACTTTCCTGTGTACATTTTTGAGTAATTCCTAAATGATGTTTGTACTCTCATCGTGTGTGTGTGTGTGTGTGTGTGTGTGTGTGTGTGTGTGTGTGTGTGTGTGTGTGTGTGTGTGTGTGTGTGTGTGTTTCTACTTGTTGATGTGTGTGCATGCATGCGGTTTTTGTGTCCGTGCGTGTGTGTAATTAGGTCGATGCTGTAATTGTCTCTGCAGAGATTGTGCTTGCAGTGGGGCGGGCCGCTCTGTCAGTAGGCCCCCAGAAAGATAGATGTCCTACAAGAAAGTCAGTCTGAGGAGATTAGAGAGGAGCGTAAAGCCTGAGACTCTCAGTTGGGAACAGAATCACAGAAAAAAAAGTTTAACAGGAATGTGGATGTGCCACTTTCAGCACGTCCAGGACTCCAGTTAGTGACAGTGTAACTATTTGATTCAACTAAAATGTCTATAATTACAGTGGTCAGTTTGTCCTGACAGCACAAGTTTGGAACCAACCCAAATGTGATGCAAAGCAAAATAAAAGCGTACTATATTAGATTGCAAAATGGAATTTTGAACTTATTTTTATGAATGGTTTGATAGTATTTAGATATTTTTGTTTAAAAATCTGGCCCTTTAAAAATGTACATTTGGCAATTTACAGTATATTATTGTGCTACAAAATGTGTTTTCTCTATCTTGATACCTAAAACGACAAATCCACATGGAGAAGTGGTAGTATCTATTTTCAACAAAATAAAATAACAAAAACATATCAGTTATTGACAAATGTAGATAAATGATGTATTGTATACATGTGAATATTTCTCAATAAGTCATAAGTTAAATTCAAACACATCAGATAGGTATGTGTTGAGAAATGGTTTAACACGACGTGTCTAGCAATAACGAAGTCACTATGATCAAAATAATCCCATTATAGACATTACGTTGCTTGTTATCAATAATAATCAATAATCAATAGTTTTGTAACAATTGTTTGATTGTTTCAGAGTAGTCCACTTTCTTTCAAATAAGTTTAACCTGTGTGCTCAGGTGTGAGTTAAGTAAGACATTAAAGACTTAAATGGGAGTTTATAGTAACATCATGTGGTATGTTGTATTTTAGGTGGCAAAAGTGAATCCCAAAGACAGCAGCTACCTGCTGAGGGATGACTTCTACAAGCACGTGCAGAGGGACTGGCCAGGCTACAGCGAGGAGGAGAGGCAGCTGATCAGCAGGCTGTTGGCCAGGTGGGTTTATTTTAATATGTCCTCCACATCTTCTTCTGTTGGTCACACACATCTCAGGTGCTAATCAACACTTGGAAACAGAACGTGCCTGTACCTGCCACACTAACAATCTGCTTCATTCATGCTCAACTTTATTAGTTCTCTTGTAAATCCACAGAACTCTGCAGTGACATCTGTTAGATGTAGTTTTGAAATTGGTACTGATAATGTTTTTTGTCTCATCTGCAAATGTCCCTGTTCTATCTTTCTGTTTAACAGGAAGTTGCAGCCGCATATCAGCCACCAATCGAGGAATCTTCAAGCAAATGTGTCGATACTGAAGACCTCAGAGGATACAACGCTACATCACAGCACAGCAAAAAATCCTGCAGTGGTAAATGGCCATATTGTGTAAAAATCTGTTTTTAGCTCTACAACTTTATTAGTCTGTGTGTAACATACAGTATGTTTCTATATACTGTATGTATATGTAAATAAATTTGTATATATTATACGTTGGCTTGTTGGTTTTTGATGACTGCTGATTTTTTTACATTGTATGAGTGAAGTCAATATTAGTAAAGGTTGTGAATGGTATTTTGTATCTGTTGTAGATTGTTTCGGTGGTTCTGTAAGGAAATATGAATGCATGATTTCAGTGATAAATCTTAATTTCTCTCTTTTTCTTCTTCCTTTCCCAGAAACGCCCTGTGCCTTTTGACTCACCGGAAAGGCTAGCTGTTAAGAGACAAAGACTTGCAGACCAGAGGTTGCAACAGCAGCCGACAGTAAACGGACTCTTAAACAATAAAGGACACAACATTGCAACTCCTACCCTCAACCCCAGTTTCCACACAAAGACTGAGTTTCAACGGACAAGTAACCATACTAGTAACCAAAATGGCTTACCAGGGGTCCACAATGGAGTTCCTCTAATGCACAGCACCTCTGACACACCTGTGGGAGAGCAAGAACCCAAAATAAGCAGCCACCAGCCACCGCAGGTCGACTCTAACTGCGCTCACCAGCAGCTCGCCAACAGCCAGCACAGGAAGAAGAAATCTAAAAAGCACAAAGACAAGGAACGAGAGAGGTTAAAAGACAACAAGGGCAGCGAATGGTTAGAGACGAGTCCTGATATCAAGCAGAACCCGGACAAACTTGACAGTAAGGCTCTTTTTATGTAGATTTTTCTTTTGACTGATGTTAGCATCCATTTGTCTTATACTTTTTGATCACATCCTGTAACCAGCACAGTGATGAAGATGGTGAGTCTTGGCGGATAAACATTTTCTTCCTTTTGACTTGGAGAAAGTTTGGAGATGTCACTTTATTGCTCATTATATGGCAGTGGCTCCATCTCCAAAACGCTGTTGAGCTGTTGTTTCTCCTCTACAACTGCAATAACAGGTTAACCACACATACTATGAGCTGATGACCAATGCTTATAGTGTGTGAGGTCTCTCTGAGGGACCATTTGCCCACTGGTGCATTTATACAGTATTATCTCATAAGCATATCTGTGTTTGCTCCCTTAAGCTCACTCTCTTGAGTCCTCAGTGTGCTATGTGGCTGATTGACTCAACAACAGCCCGGGCAGTACTTTAGGTCTCTAAGCTAACATGTCTCCTGATACCCACAAGCTCTTAGCAAGTCTGCACAGAGGCGGGCAGGCACACGCGCAAAACAAAAACACATTGCTTAACGTTCAGACAATGACAAAGTGCATTGACTCAACTCTTTTTCTTTATCTGGTGCCTTTATTCCAGATCCTGACATCACAAACGCTGTGGCCTCTGAGGAGAAGCCGGATTATGTGCTGTGAGTATGAACATATTTGTAAATGATTTTGTGGTGATGGTTCCATGTGGTATCACTTGGCGTAGTTTCCTTTTAACACATTTAAGAAATAATACTGGCTGTTTAAATATGTGTTGAGTGGGCTTAAATATGCACGTGTGACAATCCTTATTACAGCTAACTTGGCCTTCTTACGAGATAGCAGGCAACTTTATTTTTTTCATTTATTGCTATTGTTTAAATACATAACTGTTCTACTGTAATACCATTGAGGAATTGTCTCCATTGGTGATGAATGTGGATGATTTGGTGTACCCCTGTATGGTAGCAGCATTACAGTGTGGTTATATGCTTCCACCTTGTGTCAAAAAAGAGGTACTACACAAATAGAAAAGAAAAGCAGGGTTTGAGGAAATGGCTTTGAAATGTTTTTTCAAAATATTAAAAGGTAATAGTGAATGAAAACATGTGACTAAAATCTATCTGCAGGATAACATTCCTATCTATGTTTTAATCTGTCCATGGCCATGATGATTAGTGTCTGTGTTAGCCTGTATATCATCACCCTCTAACTCTATAAGTGTTTGTCTTTGTGTCTCCTTGCAGCACATACGGCACCATCATGAGTTTGGAGCAACGTCAGAGGTACCAGGAGGATTTTTGTGCAGAGTATGATGAATACAAAGACCTCCACTCCCGGATCGCGACCATAACTCACATGTTTGTTCAGCTAGGATCCAAGATCAAAAGCTTGTCCCCTGGCACGCAAGAATATAAGGTACATATATATACAACTAGATCTGATCTTAATTTGCTACGGTGTTATTTTATGCAGGTAAATTAATATTTAGCCTATAATTTAATGATCTGTATTTTGTACCATGTAGATAATGGAAGACCAAATACTAGAAAAGTACAACAAGTATCGGAAGGTAAGTCAATCATTTAAATAGTCTAAGTTATTTTGTTGTTTACTGTTTCATCTCCTTAAAGAAATCATGCATTGATATTTTTTTATGCAGTATCACATCTAACATGTAAAGAGACTTGCATTTAATTTAAGCAGAAACCTTAAGTGATATTGTTTTTTTTTCCTACCAGTATTTTTATATTGACCTATAATTTACACAGGTACGGAATTATTGTTGGCTCCAGTAGAGTAATTACCTAGTACATTACCACAATGAATCGAATGTAATTAATGATTTCTATTTAAGGATTTACACAATATTTCTAAGTAGAGGGAACATTCTTACTATCATTGTTTGTATTATTATTTGACTTCACTTCATTTTAATGACTTTTAATGACTGATTTGTAACATTCTCTTTGAAAGCAATATGGATTACAACTGTAAAATGTTAAAACAAGTCTAGAAGGGAAAGTTACTTTCATCAAGTCCCCATTAATTGACAATGACAAATTAAAACCAAGTGCTAAGCAGCAGAAAGTTGTGGAGATATCTACTAAAAAGTCATGAGCGTGCTTATTTAAAAAAGATTTTAATGTAGAGATGTAGACCTTGTCATCAAATGTTACAATTGTCCTACACTTTGGTCCATTTATTTCTACCTTCACATGTTTCCCATCTTCAGGTATTATCCATCACTTTGCTAAGGGTTGAGAATAAGGGAATATATTTTTGTGAGTAGTGTGAAAACCTTTTATTAAAATGCTTTCTCCTCCCTCCACAGAAGTTCCCAGGATACCGGGAAGAGAAGAAACGGTGCGAGTATCTCCATGAGAAGCTCTCCTACATCAAACAGCTCATCATAGACTATGACGTCTCACAGGCCTCTTCATAGCATCCACTCTCCGCTTTATCAGTTTTTTTATATGGAACTCCCTTCTTTGCATAAACAACATAGGTGTCCAACGAAGCGTTTTTATTGAGAGTGATATAAAATGTTTTGGATGAAACTTCAGACATCAACATGGCAAGCTTCTGCTGGGATCACAGATGATGCTGGGAGCACTAATGATATAGATCAATAGCAGATTCCAGTCTGGTATTTGTAAGTCTATTTGTTTTAAAGTTGTCATTTTTTAACAGATATTTGTTGATGTGAAAAGTCCAGGAAAGAGGGGAAAAAAGTCTTGGTACTAATGAGATCTTGCCATCACAGACAAAAACTAGTTAAAACCAATTTCAGTGTAAGCCATTTTCTACGAAATATGTAAAAGGTAGCAAATATGACTTTAACTTATTGACTTTGTTTCTGACACTTGTTAAGTCAAACATTGCTTCAGGCAAGTTTTCCCCTTTCCTTTTTGCATTAGCATCAAGATATTGAAACTTGATTTTTAAATGAATCTAGAAAGAAATAGATTTAGTATTGGCACAATGGAAATAATCTCACCCCTTGGCACAAAGTAATAATTTAGGACTCAGTAATATACAAAGTGATGTTATAAAATACAGATATCTTGCAATACAGTGGTGCTGGCTTATTGTACACTAAATTCAAATCCTTTACATACCTGCTGTCAACCGCTGAATCCAATGAGTTAAAACTGGAAAATATTAAAATAGCTGCACATACTCACATACTGTAGAACCAGCTGCAATACAGTACATTCAGCTATGTCTCCCAAATGCACTTGCGTTTAAAGTATTTATTTACCCCACCCCATTCTTTTGAAAGACTGGTAAAGGGACCAAAATGCTTGGCCATGATGGCTGTTGCAATAATTTGGTGAGGAAAGAGGATTTTTCTCCCCAAAGCCATTACTGAATCAATCAGGCAGGTTAATCAGGCGCCATGTCTAGTTTAAAGTATTTCAACCCAGTGGAGAAAAAGAAAGTGTCTTTCCCTCTCAGATGTTGTCTTCTTCCTTCTTAGAACTACTGATGTATTTATTTTAAGCCCTCTTCCTCCGCTCTGTGTTGTTGACCTCCTCAGCTTGAAGCGTCAGGTCTCATTAGATCTTAGAGAAAGTGTTTATATCCAAGCAGCTGGGGGAGCGAGGTGGGAGAGGTTGTGAATAAATCAAAGGTCCGTGTTGTATGTTTTGTCTCTGTCTGACCCGACAGAGTTGTGGAGAGTGGCTGAGTTAAAGCTGCTTCAAAGTCCTCTAAATATTCATGTCGAAATGGCAACAAAAGGCCTCGGCCCCTTCGACATATGATGCCCCTGCCGTGCACTTGAGCTGTGTCTGAAATTGTTCACTTTCTCACTATAAAGAAGAAACTGTATCACACACAAAGCATGGTGGTACGTTACCGGTTTGTTCACATTGTATTGCACTGTTGGATTATTTAAGAATTCAGACAGCACTACAGAACTAAATTGGGGACTTTGTAGTGGACACTGAATGATTTCAGAGTCAGCCCTAGATATTTGGTCTCCAGGGAAACATGGAGCCATATTGGTTAAGATTTTACATAAGCAGTTTTGGTACTTGTGAATTTTAAAACAATATCCTGGAGGCTTTTCTATCCTTCAGTTTCCAGTTAATAATCAGTGCCCATTCTTTGCACTAAACCCAGTCTGAAGAAAGGGGGACGACAGACGGATAAAATTTCCACTCCGATTTGTAATCATTCACCGTGGTTGCAGTTTTTGTACTGAATGTTATCACAAAGTCAATGACGTAGAAGCCTTAAGATTACACTTTTTATAGGACAAATCTTCAAACTGCCAATATCAACAAGGAGTCATTATCCACACACATCTGTTATCTGCCTTATATTATTGTTAGCTGTTACATTTATACCTTTCTTAGCCATTTCAATGTTAAAATGGATGCCAACAGTGGCTTTGTCACACGTCAGAATATTACTTTCTGGAGGAAATGTTTCATAATGTAATTTAAAATTTGTTTAGTGCACAGTTTCATTGGCTATGGTGGCATAGCTTACTCAGTTGCATTTGTAATCCTTGTGGTACTCTGTTTATCATCATCATCTCTGAGATATGCTCATAGATATATGTGGCTGATATTCCTATTGACGTCCCATCTAAATATCATCTTGATTGGAAGATTGTCTTCTGTGATTCCTGTGATATTTTAAGCACAAAAGAAATCCATTGTTAATAACTATACTCAATCACTTTCAGGTAGTGGGCGGCAATTATGAGAAGGTTTCAGGGGGAAAATGGTATATTGTCGAGTGGTTTATGAAAGACCATAATTATCTGTTGGTTACTGAGTTTGATGGAGATCATAATTATATGGGGGTTATTGAGTATGATGAAAGAATCACTGGTCTTGAAGACAGAATATTTCTTACAAAGTCACTAAATTAATTTTATTTATCTTCTCTTAATCACAAGCTACAACAAAAGGTTCATACGGTGTTCTGTTTTTTGGACTGGTGCTGAATATTTACAAGGCACCAGTGTGTACTGCACAGTAGGTGTTTTTATGTACCACATACCTGCTGAAGGGAAAGCCTCATCTTAGTCACAGAGGAGTCAGAGAAGAGAGTATGCACTATGGACTACGTTTTACAAATGTATACTTTCTCTTTTTCTGTTGTGCAAAGTTCAAAAGAATAAAAACATCAAAGTGATTTTTGTCTTTTGATTTCCTCATTTTACAAACCTTGCTTCTTGAATTTTCTATGCCAATGTTTTGCATCATTCAGGTTTTCTTTAATCACAGCAGTGTTCAGTTGTGCAGTCGTCAACAAATATACAGGACTATGAAGTTTGTCTGTGTATTGATTTGTCTATACGTCCTCACCTAAACCACTTGATAGGTCAACTGCTAGTAAATGCCAAAAGGATTATTTTTGTCAGGGGAATAGAAGTGTCTGGCTCATGGGATTATGAGACCCCAAAATACTGTTACAGACACAAATACAATGTTTAACATTGTAAACAAACTGGTACTAATTACTTTCTGATAAATCACAATTTATAAAGGGTTTGTAGGCTACGTTGTAAATAATGACTTAATGAAGATGATAATCTGTTACAAGCCTTTTCAAGAACAAATTTATTTACTACCTGGGTTGCCAGGTTGTAAAAATAAATAAAAAATACTCAAGCAGATGATTATCCTTTTTTAAGATCTTTACTTAATCCTTAAAATCCTATAATGGACCACTTCTGGAAAAAAAAAAATCCATTTATTACCTAATTATAAACTTGACAGGCAATCCAGATGTTGTTCTTAGTGTGGCTTTTTTTTTTATACATCATTAGTAAATGTCATGTCATTAGCAATGAATAAAGCCCTTAGTTATAAAGCCTTCACATGATTGATCAGAAAGTGGTACCTACCCATAATACTTAATCCTATCTCCTTTGCTGCTCGGAAGATAATCCAGTAAGAATGACTGTATTTAATAAGAGCTTTTCATTAAACCACTGTGAGTTTATAAGTGTGTAAAACACCAGCTTGTGCCATTTCTCACAATTGACAGTGCTGAATTCTGAGGGTTGTATGGTGAGAAACAAAGCCTCAAGATCCCTAAACTGCTGGGTTTTGACAGATATCGGACAGCAACCGTGACAGCAACCTAAACGTGGCGAGTAAGACTTGAGAAAGCCTTGTGGAGGTAATGACTGGCTATTTGCTCTGCAGGTGGACATGGCAACAGTGCGTCCGCCGAGGCCCTGTTGTCATGACGACCATGAATACTTAAAGCTGCCAAGGTTACCGCTGCTGCTGTGTCCATCATAAACTCAAACGGAGGCAAATTAAGGTATATGAGATATAATATAATGAATTAAATTATAATTACAGCCGACCCAGGGTGACAATGGGTTCACCTTTCCGTTTTCCTTCTTTACCGTGGATGTTGTTGTTGCTAGCGTTAGCGTAAGAGCTAACCTGTGTGGATGCTTGTGCTGTGTTGTTAGCTCTAGTTGGCTAATAAGCTGTTCTGTTTCTCCCCAACCGTTACAGTTAGCTTTAGACAACAGCTGCAACATGCAACATGTATTTATTGTACTGCGCCGACATTAACTTATAGTGTGTGTATTTGTGTGTGTACCCCACATTAGTTCATCCTTACTTCCTACGCTATAGCTGGTGTATTCACAGTGGTGTAGTGTAACTAACGTAACGTTATAACGTTACTTACTGAAGTAACGTTACTGTACTTTTTGCACAGTTCTGTAGTTTTGATGTAAATGATGATGTTACTTTACTTGAGTATTTCTATTTCATGCTACTTGACACAGGCAAATGTTGGACTTTTTTCTCCACTACGTTTAATTTAATTGATAATTAATTACTTAGCAGATTCACACTTCACAAAGCACCTGTTCAGTTTATAAAATATGGTTCATTGATACAGATTAAACCACCCAATAGTGGTCAGAATGAGCTCAGCTATAACACACAAATGTACTGATGGTTTTGATACTTTAAGTGCATTTTGATGATAATAGCTACTTCTGTCCTTTATGTAAGTACAGTTATGAATGCTGGACCTTAACTTGTGATGACGAGGTATTGTTACCATTTGGAACTAAAAGATCTCAGTACTTCTTCCGCCACTGCACATATGTCTGCATCGTCAGACACAACTTGGGGAAAGTGTGTGCTCTTTTCCTGCAACATGAGAGCACTGTTATGTACTCTTAATACTTCATCTAAAATGAATATGTTTTTGTCGAAGGATGTCGGTGTACACCAGAAGAAGTACCCCAGACTCCGAGATGGAAGCAGCTTGCAAAACAGAGACATCTAAAAAGAAAACGGCTACTTTGGAACTGGCCGGTGTGACACAGGTACAGATGATACACAGTTTAAATTTACTGGGTTCATTCTAGAAATGAGTTTAATGACAAAAATACTTCAAAAATGATTTGTGTTGTGTAGCCCAATATCAAATGTGTCCCAAAGACTATACAGACGATCGAATAAGAAGATATGTTTTCCAAAGGGATGAATGATTCACTGTTGTGACTTATCTGTCAGCTTCCAGAGAGTACCAATTGCCTGGCGTGCTCGGAAGACGGCAGGTACCTCAGCCTGGGTCACTCCCAGGGCTTGTCTGTGTGGTGTGCGTCTTCTCTGAGCCGTGTTGCAGAGTGGCTGCAGGACAGACTGGAAATTACATCTATTCAAATTACCTGGATAGCTGACATGTTCTATCTGCTTGGCACTGTTGATGACATGGGTGGGTAGTACACCTCTAATCAGCCACTGACTCTCTTTAGTTTCTGCTTCCTCTCCTGCCTAAAACCTGTATAGATTTCCACATAATAACAAAAACAGATTGACAGCTTGATGCTGGAGTCATGAACCATTGCTGTGCTGAACTGAGACATCAACACCTGTGAATTAGAGGAAAGAAAAGTGGAGAAAGAGGTTTTCAGAAAGTGTAGGAACAGGTACATTGCTAAAAATGTATCATCATCCTGACATCAGCTGCTGTCGTCTTTCACTGCAGGTGTTGCCAGAGTCTTTGTATATCACTGTGAAGGCATTCACCTCCTCAGTGCTATCAACAACATGGTGAGTAGTGTCAGTGTCATTTCTTGAGATATACCTTATCATATTTTGTTTGTCCACCACCAATGTTTTCATAGTTGTATAAGAAAAAATTATATGTTGAAAATGTTTATCTATAGGATATCGTTTTCATTTTTGAATTCATGTAATTCCCTTTAGGAATAGAAAAAAAAAGATAACAGATTCAAAAAATACTTTCAATATCAGGAAAATATCAACAAAAGGAGCATCTGCTTGACATTTGAACTGTCTGAAGGGGGAGATTATGGAGCCGCATCAGTGAGCTGTAAGTAAGGGCTTCCTTTTAGTTTTTATTATGTGACTTCACATTCAAATACTGAATTATGGAAATTTCACACTTCCTATCAGGCAGTGGTGCTCTTTGGCTTGAGGTCTATCACTTCCCTTCAGAATCATGGCTGAAAGAGTTAGAGATGGCACTATCACAGAAACAGGTATTGTACTAGATTTAATTGCTAGGTTGGTTTGAGCTTGATCGTGTTTTAGGCATCATATTAGACATCTTACTAACAGTGGCATTTGATTGTCATCTGCCATTTGAGTCTGAGCTTAGTTTGGGTTTAACTCTTTTATTGAAGACATTCGTTTTAAATTGACTACAAGAGAAGAAAACAAAGTAAAATTGAGAAAATGCTAAATATGTGCACAAATACAGGCACACAATTGCAAAAAATAACAGAAAAAGGCTTAAGCTTAAAAGGTGTTGCAGTCCTGAGTAGCTGCCAGTCTTTTTGTATTCTTCATGTCAATAAATGCCTGTCTGTGTGCACATATAATACAGCCATACTGACCTGGCTGGAAAGCATTTTCCACTGGGAAGCAGATTCCTAATTTACATTACACAATTTTAACAACATGTGCCATTTTAATTGCTATCATATACGACTTTACACCAGTGAATTAAAAGTTCAAAACTTTTTTATAATTTTGAGGAAAAACCTTTGAGGCAGTTGAATTTATTTTTTATCCTCAGGACCCAAACTCATCTGGAGATGTGGAAGTTAAATGGACTCCAATTGCAGTGGTGATTAGAATTAAGCCACCCACAATCCCAGCAGGTATAATTTTATATAGAGTAAAAATGTAATACAACTATAATTTGATATAATTTAACTGAACCGAAATACATTTTGTGTGTGTGTGTGTGTGTGTGTTTGTGTGTGTGTGTGTGTGTGTGTGTGTGTGTGTGTGTCTGGGTACTGGTCACAGTTTTTTGCTGTTCCAAGTAAAAGAATGATCATGCAGCCGAGTCAATATCCCAGCATGCTTCTGCTGTTTTGCAGGGACAGCATTGGATGATCCACTTGTGGTCTTGCAGATGACAGACTTTTTAACACACTGCCTGGCTCTGGATGTAGACACCAGGAGCAGTCGTCAGTGGGAGGAACCGGCTTTTGATACAGATGCAGGAAAAACAAAGGAAACCATTGAAAGCCCAAGGTACGATAAAGCAGTAGTTCCCAACTTTTTTCCTTTTCTATCATTGAGTAAACTGACGACTGTATATTTTTAAAGTTTCCTTATACCCCTTAAAATCAACCCCATGAAGATTTAGCGACCCAGGTTGGGAACCACTGCAATACAGTGTACACAAATACAATCAGCATTTTACAGCTAAGCTGCTATGATAGCACTGTTGTAGATCTAATATGTGATAACATTCACCGATCAGCCATAACATTATGACCGCTGACAGGTGAAGTGAATAACACTGATTATCTGGTTACCATGGCACCTGTCACTGGGTGTGGATCATTTAAACCATTAAATGAGTGATGTTCAGCCTTTTTCTTGTATTTTTCAGACGTTGCACCCACCACTTTCTTCTGCCTTGTGGTCAGTTTCCTGGTGACAGTAAAGCAAAGTCCCAGCCAGGTTTGTAATAGATGAGTATTTGAAATTTGAGTGTTTAAAATGTGAATATATAATAAAGAATGATGTAAAACAATTGGCCATTAGTGTTTCAGTGGTGTTTTCACTATAAAAATGTTGCAGTCCAGAATAATAGATCATATACAAGGTCTTTGTGATTTAAGGTATAACCCTGGGTGAATGGCAGATTGACAGGCATAAGGATATACCCGAGCTAATGAATTCATTTGGATTTTATCCCTCATATTTATTCAATCCCCTGTAATAGCAGGTGGTGACAGGCCAAGCTCCTTTTAATGTCGTCTTTAATCCCTGACCTTTTCTCAGCAGGGTTACCTGTTGCTGTCTGTGTGTGGTGGAGTGGCAGCCATAATCTTCTTCAGTATTTGCTGCAAAAAGCACCAAAGAACAAACCAGGTAGGGATTCATTTGTTCAGAGACGATCTACTGGATGTTCACAACCACATCTTTAAAATATGTTGCCTGTTTTTTTACTTAGCACAGCTTGTGTCTGCTGTGGGAAACAGGCATACATGTTTTGTTTTGATCCTTCTGTTTTCGAAGCAGATGTGGAACCCATGCCAGATGTGTTATGGCCAAATGCAAAGGAAATCCTCTGCTCTGCTGTCAGTAGATGCACCCGTTACGTAGCACTTGGGCTTGATGATGGTTTGGTGTGTGTCTGGGACAGGCAGTTGGGTGAGCAAACCTTATGATATATTATAAACCTTTGGTTTGGGTGAAGTAAGACTAAGCCTGAATAAATTAACTTTAAAGCAATCTTTACTACTTTTCAGCATCTAACTATGTCTCCAAACCACTTTATTGTTGTTGATAAGCTACAGGCAAAATCATAGTGAGCTAGAAAATTCTCTAGATACTTGAAAATTACTATTTATTTTGAAAGTGTTTGTTGGTTGATAAATATGGCATAAGTTTTGTATTCTGCCTACACAAACTCAGTCGGTAAGAGTAAATGATATTGGATATTGTTTATAGAACAGACAACACAAAAAATTAATTGAAGTAACTACTGGCAAGTAACTGCGAATAATCTTTCTCCATCTGTGTTATTTGACATGCTTACAGTATTTGTTATGTATAATGTTAAAGCTCTGTGTGATAGCTTGGCACAATAGCGGCACCGTTTTCATAATCTTCATTAGTAGTCCAATACTCTAGACACTGCAGTGTAATATCCGGTATACTATGAATTGGAAAGGGCAATTCAGATCGGCCTTAAATTAAAATTACACCATGTAAAAAGAAGGAATAAAAACTTTTCCCTCTTACAAATTAAAAGTTGAAATTATAAGTAATAAAAAACACCCTTGCTCACTCTAGCTCACTCAAAGGTTTTGTTGCTACAGCTTTACCATGACCAGTGGCTAATCTTAGCTAACTTCAGCTAGACTGACTGTAGGATCTCTTTTATTCATGCTGCTGTTACACTTCATTTCAGCATCAATCACACATACACGTTTCAATGGTTCTATCACAGAAGTGCAAACAAAAAAAGAGGCCATCTTCCTCTTGCAAGTCCGTTACACTGGCATCTTTTAGAGAACATAGTGGTTTGTCTGCATCTCTGAGTGCTCCTGTTGTTAAATTACCCCCGGACACACACAACCACACGCATTAAAGCATGATTCAGTGAATTCTATCAAGCTCTTCGGTCCAGTTAGTTGTGATATATTTAGGATTTCCCCGAAAGGAAAAAGCAATAATGAGGCACAATCCGTTTGTAGGAAGATACAAATTTGGGTGCATGAGTTACTGACAAGCTAACAACCATTTTTAGAGGTTTGTAATATAAACAAGGTTATAGCCTGTTTGATTCTCATTTTCTTGTCCTTTCCTCAGGGTCTCCGTTGTCTGTTGTCCTGGTATCAGTTACAGACACTGCCTTCTCCTGTATGCAATTTGTGGATTACTGGCCTGTGTCGGCGAATGATTCCCAGACTTTTACCGAAGCAAAAGTGAATCTTTTGGTGTTGTGTAAAAGTGGAACCATTCATACTGTCACCACAGGACGAGGGATACGATCCTGCACAGTGCAGCTCACTGAAAGGTTACCTGAAATTTACATATTTAATTGAATGCATGCATCTAACTTTTTCCTGTCAAATTAAATGCTATCATATTGTATCAGAAGAAAAAGAGGTTTCCTGTATCTCTACAGGCCAAAACACAGCGGGGACCTCCCAACTGTCACTGCATCAGTGCCATTCCTGCATAGCTTGGTAGAAACACTCAAATTTTTGATAAAAGGTTTAAAGCACATAAAACAATTCCATAGAACTTGCAGTATTTTAATTGCTGCTGTCTTATTTTCCTTACGTCAATTAGTCGCTTGTGGTGCAAAGAAATGGAAAAATGTTTCTCCAAGATGTCATCAACAAAACCACCGTGTGCTTCTTGATTCCTACCCCAACTCATCTGATTGGTACTCCCTGTAATCCTGTTTATGCCCTGAACACCAAACAACAAACTCTGTTCATAAAAGGTAAACCTAAAGACAACATTTTTGTTTTGTTTGCTGAAAGTTTTGTCAGTTTCAGGAAAAGGAGGGAATCACTGGTGACGTTCACTAAGACTATGACATTGAACAAGTTCATATTACATTGATATGTAAGCAATAAATCTGCAATAACAAGGTGAAATGGAACTACTGTAACTAAAGGCTTTCATATCTCAGCAGGTGACCAGGACCCAAGCTGCAGTGGTTCTTCTAAAGAAGGAAACCAGAGTCAGCTATTCACCTTCCGTTTTGGAGAATCTGACATCTTTAAGCAGTATATTGTTTCACTTCCAGATTCTCCGCAACAACAAAAAACACTGAGCTGTGTCACTCTAGAGAAAGCCTGCAACGTCTACCTTCAGCAAAGGTTGCTTTTCTTTTCCCCTGTAATCTGAATATCAGGTGTCCAGTTATTTTTTTAAATGTACTCTTAAAATAAGTCTGATGATGTGTAGACTTTCTAGCACGAAGAGTACATTTTTGAATGTTAAAGCTGTGTCCTGTCGTGGTTTTATGTGCAGAGTGGCATCCGGTGGGGAAAGGAACAAAGCTATAACGCAGACCTGGAGGCAGCTACAGGAAACTGCAGTGATGGTACAACAGAGACACAGCAGGGCTGCAGCCAGCTGATGAACTGCAACGATACATAGTTTCATGGATTGATAGAGCTACTATTGTACATGGTGTGTTCATTTTATGTTGTTTTAAAGCTTCTTCTAATTCCCACTTCAATTGCACTATTCACCTTGATACACAGTGCTCATTTAAACACAGATGTAATATCTGTTATATTTCCTTTTTCTTCTTTTTTTACACAATTGTACAAAATAGGTGAAAACGACTTACTTTTGAAGACAGAATTTTCTCTACTTGTTCCACATGGGGTCTAGGGATGCTGTTTAAACGGTTCATACCTAATGAATATATATATGGTATAGTCATGTATTGTCTGTGTCGCTATAAATACATATTGCAAATGATCAAATATAACTTTTTCTCCAGGACTTTAAAAAATGAGGGCAGTGCCACAACCCCTTTTTCACAGCAGCCATTTCGACATTAAATTGTAGGGTATGCACAGGTGTTACCAATGATGCTAACTAAGGATTTGTTCCATTCACGTCAAACAGAAATGGAACGAACCTTAATTAGTTTCATTGGTAACACCTGTGCATACCCTACAATTTCATGTTGAAATGGCTGCTGTGAAAAGGTCTATTTAGGCTAAACTGATGCTAACAATAAAGGTTCTGTTTATGAAGCAGGAGCAAGCAGTAAATGCCATGGTAACTGTATCCACGGTTGCAAGACTTTGTCCACTGGTGAATCATAACATGATTGAGGCAGAATAAGTATTTCTTTTTGAATATTTATAATTGATCCTCTTACAGTAACACTTTAACTCAGTGGCTCTGCCTGTAAATGTACTCTGTCTGTCAGTAAGTCCTTGTTTAAATGTATTCCACTGGTCCAAATGTACATTACCAACATAACCTAATCTCCAGTTCTTATTTGCTTTTAAGACAAATCAAACAGTTGTGTCTTTCTGTATAAAGAAGGATTGACATTGTTTCTTGTGTTGACTACGGCAACATTTTTATATCTGTGGTGCTGCTAGGCCATCTCTAATACACAGGATGACTGATTGTGACTGGGCCGTATTCAGTAATGGCACATTGGCATTTTGTTGCCTTTAGGGTCCTTGAATGCTTCATGCGTCATGTTTTTAATGTCAGAAGACACAAAAAGTAGGACAGTGCAGAGATTTGCTTACTTTTCTTAATTTAAACCAAATACATGCATCATGCAACAGGAAATACTCATTCAGAGCTTTGCCTGTCTATAATGTGAGAGTAGGTTTAGACAGAAGAGGTATGTTCTTGTCCGTCATTGATACAGTTTGTATAATTTAATGGAAAGAAAAACAAACCTTGCTTTTCAGGATTATGTATATAAACAAAATGGAGAAGCGGGTGGACAGCGTTAGTAGCTAAGTACTTTTATTTTTGGCAAACTGACACACTCAAATTGAAGGGAGCATAATCAGCTACTAAATAATGTCCATATTTATTGAATACCAGGGCAACAGCAAATTTAGATTAAAATATTCGAGGTGGGCTCACAGAGTCGGAAAACCTCAATCTATCAGAGACCATACTGTTCAGTTATATCTAATCAGTAATGTGTGGCTGGAGAATTATTCCTGATTGGCTCCTTGTGTGAGTTTAGATTGGTGACAGAACAATAATGGGTGCTCATTTCACTGAGTGCATTTTGGATCACTTGTGTCGCATTTCTGCTATTATACACACAAATGTATCTACATTGTTGTAGTCCATCTTCACCAGACAGTGTTTATACTGTTCAATCAGTTCAAACTGTGGTGTCTCTTTGTCAAGAGAACTGATACTGATTTTAATATCTTTTTGAAAGCAAAGCCTCATTTGAATTTCTATAAAGCTTTGCTGAGGGTGCCAAAGGGCCACACATCATTGAAAGTGTAATGAAAGCTCTATTCAAAGAGTTTGGCATGTGTACCCATCAGATATTTACCGCCTCTTAAATGAAACTAAGCACCGACAAAGAGCAGACTTTCATTCTTGTCAGATTTGTCTCATTTGACTTTTTAATTGATTATTTAATATCAGTGTTTTTATAGATGTTACTTGTGGTATTTAGTTGTCTCAACATTTTATTTTACTATAACATGCAAAAAAAACCCAACCATCATCATTTTATGTTTTCCTTTTCTCAGATACGTACAATTAACTGTAATATCAGCCTTTTTTATATATTCAGTTACTCATTGGCAACAGCTAAGGTAAGAACAAGTACCTTAGCGGTTTGCTTATCTGAAAAATGTCTTCCTCTTAAGCTAAATGACTGTTGAAAGCTACAAAAGCTAGTAAATGGAGCTTTGAAATTATTGTGTTACATGAATAATAAATGCAGAAGTTCTGAAATGAAGTTGATTAAAGGATTTCTGCATTCTGTGAAATAATCCTTGTCGCTTGCCAAAAGTTATGAGACATGAGGGTGAGCTGCAGTATACCGCTCTCATGTCTGTACGGTATACATGAAGCTATAGATAGCAGCCAAATGTGTCGCTCTTACACTTTGTTTTCTGTAGTGATTAAACAAGATATAATGTTGATGGATGAGCTTGTAAGCTGGTGGGCAGATTTGGTTACGTTTGGACCAGTTAGGGTAGCTGTCCCCTTCCTGTTTCCAGTCTTTATGCTAAACTAATCTAACCGGCTGCTGGCTGTGTCTTCATATTTAACAGAGAGTGTTATCGATCTCTATAGTGAATAACTGCATTTCTATAAATGTTGTGTTGTAAATTGTTCCTTTAATGGATTAGTTGACTGACAGAATATGAATAGGTAACATTTATAATAATCATTCTGGCAAATTTAAGCAAAAATTGGGAAAGTCACTGGCTGCAGCCTCTCCAATCTGAATATTTTCTGTATTTACTTATTCTTCTATAATAGTCAGCTGAATACGTTTAGGTTTTAGATTGTTGATCAGTTAGTTGAGAAGACTGATTATTATAGATCAATGAATTAATGAATAATGAAAATAATAATTATTTGCTGCCCACAAAAATTTTAAAAGTTTTGTCAAAGGTCACACTTAAAATCAGGACACTTTTCCTGGTTCGGTTCGCACACCATATATCTGGAAATTATTCGGTGTACTTGATCACAGTCAGGAAGAGCAAATGTATGCGGAAAAAAGGTAATGAAAGATGGATGCTATAGGCATCAATTTAGATAATGGATTCAGATTCTTATCTCAGTTTAAAATTATTATGGCTTGTAGCCACGGCAGATAGTGACGTAGATCATCTTACATATGAAACACAGCAGCTGTTGTTACAGCTGGATTTCACAAACTGCCCGGACTAATTACATTTTCTGGCTACATTATCTGTGTTAAAGACATAAAAGAAGTGCATGTTGCTATGATTTACCTTCTAAAATTACATGTAATGTCTCTCTTGTCTGCATTTGAGGTTCCTCTAATCTTCAAGAACCAGATAAAATGATACAGGCACTGCACCTGAACCTACCTGTCTAAGTCATTCATTGTTGTGAACAAGAAGAAAAAAAATGCTTAATTTTTTTAAAGAGCTAAAGATTATTTAAAGTTCTCTGCCACACATGCATTTGTCATAATTCATAGCAAGAAATTGCCTTTCCATTCGGACTCTATGACTCATCACTGATTATAGACAGCAGTCCCCTCTGGGATCCTACTGCGACACATCACTACAAACATGGAAGTGTGTTTGCATAAGATATCTGCACAGAAATTGCACGCCATTGCCGTGCAACAAGAATTTACATGCAAACAATTTCATTTATATGTGTGATTTTTCTTCTCTTCCCCACAGGGCTTGTTGTAATTTCACCTCTGAAAATGGGCCGTCAATGTTTCCAACAGGAATGGATTCACAATAGACACTCCAAATTACAGCGAATAAATTTAATTCAAGATGAACACAGGTTACAATTTACAGAGGACTGAAACAAGAAGACAGAAGCTCATTAGGTTAGTGTAGTGTGATCAGTGAATTTATTTTATGAAGCTTCCCCTTTTCAAGGAAACACAAAGTTCTGTATTTCCCACCCAGCTTTGTGTTACGCAGAAGCACATTGCGATTTATGAAGTAACGACACGTAGTATTCAAGGAATACAGGACCCCCACACATCAGACACTGAATAAAACTGAATAAATAAAACAGTTATATAGCAGTAGTAAAAATAGTCTCCTCCCTCCTCATAGGTTGCTCTCGGAGCTGGACTGGTTTGGATCTCTTAAAAATATGCTTCTTGGTGACGTCGACTCTGCTCTGCTGTGGTTATCGCTGTACAACATGAACCTCTCCTGGCTGGCCTCTCTTTTCAGTGGCAACGAGTTGGCAGCACAAATGAAGGATCCGGTTATAACCGTGTTGTTATCCAGGTCGGCTGCCTTGGTGGCGTTGCAGTAATACCTCCGGAGCCCCTTTCGGAAGTGAATGGTGAACAGGCCATAGATGACCGGGTCGAGGCAAGCGTTGACGAGCCCAAAGATGAACAGGATGTGGGTCAGTGAATGGGAGACCTTCCCCTCCAGGTCGTCGGGGAAGAACCAGTACCACAGTCCCAGCAGGTAGTATGGAGTCCAGCAGACGATGAAAGACGACACAATCACAATACTCATTTTTAGAGTTCTCATCCGGGCTCTGGGGATGTTATTCTTCGAACGCCGCAAATGCACTTCATTAGAGGGCACTAAGAGCACAACAGGTGATAGAAACAAAACAGTACAAAAATATATTAGTTTCTTACTCATTAAGTAGATTTGCTGAAATTGCAGTTCTTAAGGTTTCTGTCTCTGTGTCTGCTCACAGCACTAACAAAACTAACAATCTACAGCCACACAGAGCAGATATTTGACCTAAATGCTAATGTCAGCATGCTAACATGCTCACTATGGCAGTGCTAACATGCTGATGTTTGGCAGGCATACTATAACATGTCCACGATTGCTCCAATTAGCTTATTAGCAGTAAAGACAAAGTACAGCTGAGGCTGAAAGGATTAAGTTTCGAATGTAGACACATTAAGTTGAGTATAAATTAAGGGATTGCCAATGTTTTTGAAATTCATCCTCTGAATCCATCATGAGTATCTGTACAAAAGTTCATGGCAATTAATCCGATAGTTCATACGATAGTTGTCTGATTGACATGTCACTAAAAACCCCAAAAACCTCATGGTAGCGCTTGAGCAAAAGTCAGGAGGGTACCACCACAGTCAATAAGATTCATCCTCTGGAGAACATGAATTTCACAGCAATCCATCTGATAGTTGTTGAGATATTTCAGCCCGGAACAAAGCCATGGACTGACTGCCCGACCAACAGACCGACAGTCCGCCATTCCAAAAGCCTCGCCCCAACATCTTGACCACACTGTTAACAGTTTTGAGACTATTTCTTCAGTAGATTTATGTCATGAAAACTGCACAGTGTCTGTGGATTATACCGAGCAACTAGTTACACAATGGATGTAAAACTAGTCACATCCACATCCAAAACTTTAATTATACTAAGACATTCTGTTGCTGGTGAACTAACCCTTTAGTCCATGCACTAATTAAGCCATTAATTGCTGTTAGAGAATCACAAAGTTACATTTTGGTGTGTTACTGTATTTGTTATTTATATATGTTAATGTAAAAAAACCTTAAATCACCAAAGAACTAACACAGCCGAGCTTTTATCATTACATCAAATAACAGAAAGGTTAAACACACTGTGCAGCAGCAATTATGTTATATAAACACTAATCACTGACGTGAACTGATCCACAGACTTACAGTTGTCCTTTTTCATTCGTTTGGAGATCTCACAGAAGATCCTGGTGTAGCAGGTGATCATGATGACCAGCGGCAGCAGGAACAGGCAGGAAAAAGTGAACATGTTGTAGGCTGTTTCGTGCCAGTGAGTGACAAAACTTCCACGTGTGGTACACTGAGTGAAGTCCTCGGGATGGATGATGGTCACATTGTGAAAAAGGAATAACTGAGGAGGGAGAGGATCGTTAGGAAGGCATTTTCAGTCATATGGAAAAACATCTATGGCTGCTCATGTGTTTGGTGGCCATATCATCATTCAGTGATGGTTGAACTGCCAGTAACTCACCTACCTGTGGTGCTATTTAGCCATGCAGGTAGTTTTTGATTCGAGTTATCTGTTTCTGAGATTTTTTCCGTCCCCCAAAATGAATGGAACTAAATGGAATTTAATTTGTGCTTCTCAAAAAAATAGAAGGTCACACTTCATCATTTCTGTCTGAAGAAAAAAAAAACACTCAACCCTTATCTCTCACAACCCACAAAGCTATAATTGTCTACGTTTATCCTCTCACCACTGGTTGTGTAATTTGAATGATTTGTTGAGGCATTAGAGGCCAAACTATCCTGTTAAAGGTTAAAAACAAGCATTTTATGTACCACATTATGTACCTGTCCTCCCTCCACCCTGTTTTTAGCGCAACCTCCTCCATCATGTTAATAAAACAAAATATGTTGGCAATAGATTCTCCTTGCTGATGGGATAATCTTTTTTTTTTTTTCAGACTGATGTTAGGAGAGCAACTGGTCACACATTTTGTATACGTCTTCCTCAGCAGTTTTTTTGTGGAAATGGTTATTCATGGCCTTAAACTGTAAATCCAAGCATATAAAATATTCATGTAAACAACTTAAGCCAAAGTAAGAATTATATCAGAGTACATCCACCTTGTCAGCTGGGATACCTGGCCTTACCTGTGGGACTGACAGCACGACACTCATGCCCCAGGCCACAGTCAGCATGACTCTGTTCCTCTTTCTGGCCTTATTGATAGCCAGAGGGTTGAGGATGGCTGACTGCCTATCCAGACTAATCACCACGGTGACAAAGGCGCAAGAGTACATCGCCTGCAGCTTTAGAAACATCAGTAGCCTGCAGGCAAGGTCCCCAGCAAGCCACTGGACTGTGATGTTCCACACGGCATCCACAGGCATCACGATGAAGGTCACCAGCAAATCAGCCACAGTCAGGTTGATTATCAACACCCTGACGTGGGATTTACGCTTCCCATCGCTGTGTGCCGCCCACAGCACTGCAAGGTTGCAAAAGGCCGATATACCACAGAGAATGCAGGTGATGATCACTCTGACTTTGGCCGCTGTGGTGAATGTGGGCAGCTGCAGGGCGCCACCCCCCGATGTCCAGTTGGACGTAGGCGAGGAGTAGTTGCAGCTGGCGTTCAGTTGGTGGTCTGTCGTCAGGTGATACAAGGCCACGGCAGAGTCACACAGAGTGGTGTTCATTTTCGGATGGTCGCAGAGGAAGAAACATTCTGCTCATTCACCATGAAGATCAGCGCTGGTAACAAGAGTGAGACAAAAAGAGGGAATCAGCAAGATACAAGATGGATGAGTCACGGGCCAGGAAGTGGGCGCAGATCATCCAAACACATTTGTGTAATGAGAGAAAGAGAAACATCCCATAAATGAATAATACACAGGCCCATCAAGAGGAAGTAATATGCATATATGGAAGCATTATTCGTATTTCAATTCAATGAGGTGGAAAGATAGAGCTAACAAACTGTGAGAAAAAGGGAAATTATGAATACAGTACAATGAGCTAATATTATATGGTATTAACTGCTACACGTCCATGTTTTCCTAGAGTGCATGTACTGTAATAGTGCTAATATTCAACCACAATTTACACATTTCATCTGCTGTGCAGAATTCCTTGTTTAGTAATAATAACATGGGGGCAGAGAACATAATAGATAAATAGTAATAGTAATAAAAAAGGTTATTATAATGACAATTTGAATTTCTCAACCAAGACAATTTGAATAATTCAAACAGGGGAGTCACCATGTTATTAATCGTTGTGGTGTGTGGCCAAACAAAAATTGTTACCCAACAAACAGCAACAAGAAAACAAAATCATTCTGTATAAATCTGACTGGTTTGAAATGCAAACAGGAAACGTGCAGGAGGATTTCAGTCGACCTTGTTCAGTGTCCTGGTTGTTGGCAGCCTCTGTGTTATTAGTTAATATTGTAGTGCCCACACCTGCACAGCAAAACAGCTGTATCACCAACATTAGACTGAGCTGTCAATACCATGGACTATCAAAAGTATTCCTACTAAAAGAAAAAGAAAAGTTAAGGCCTTTTTGAGCCCATTCACAAGTCAAAAAAATGAACAAGTGATGTCTCACCTATTTGCCTTGAATATTTAATATTTTATCCTAATGTTAGATTTCATAAAAGAGGAGCTGTTATAAGGGACAAGGAAGCATATGGTGGTAGAACAGATGACATATAACACCATGTAAGTAATCTTAATGTAAACGCATTCTGTATTGAATATGATATATAAAACTGCTCATTTAAGCACAATTAAACATACACACGTGCACGCCCGCTTATTTTTCTATTTTGATCCGATTTAAAGATAAGCAAAGATTGATTTGACTAATTTGACTCGAAACTTGACATTTTCTGTTAATAATCAATCCCAAAAGAGTCTTTAAACCCCAGCACTCACACAGACATTCCGGTGTCTGCAGTATGCGGATAACTCATGTCAGACAGACGCAACTTTGCACGAATTATTACACAGCCTTCTTGTTCTGCAGACAGATCATACTGAATATATCTACAATGTATAACTGTTCACCCCGATCAGTTCAATAAAAGACTTCCAGATCTTCAAATAAAAAATGACATTTCAGTTGAGGTCTGTGGATATTGCGCACACTTCATTTTCTCTTCCCACACGTGACACTGAGTGCCCCTGTAGTCCTAAAGCACATTCAAAACCAAACCATATATATTGTCTCCCTCAACAAGCTTAACCACAGCTTAGCCCGACTACAAGAAGCTCAATGTGCGTAAAAGCAAACTTACGTTCTTGTGCATTGGAGAGAGTTCTGGGTTTAGCCTTTTGCGCACTTTTGAGACCCCAGGTATTTAAAAATCTTCGCAGGACGGAAGCTTCGTGTAAGGTGGTCTTCCATGGGTAGTCTGCTGTAAGTTTAGCAGGTTCACCGACATCCTCTGCAGCTGTCCAGCTCCTCTGCTATCCAGCGCGTCCTGTGCGCTTCCACCCGTTCCACCTTTATCCATATACCAATCAGAGGCGTGCAACACAAACCCCCGGGGTGTGGTCGGACCTCAACTCCATATTCACTGACATATATGTTAGAAAACAAAAGAAACACACGTGAGAGCGAATAACAATGACCACTGATGATCAACACGTGGTAAAAAAAAAAAGGCAAGGCAAACACCGAGCATCTAAATAAATTCCAGGAGGAAATAAGTCGTAGGAGACATGGGGGAAAAAATATGAATTATAAAGTCACAGTTTGGGATGTGCCTGTGCTGCGTGAAATCCTGCAGTAAAAGCTACACTATTACATAAAACATGATTCATGAGATAGCACACAGGCTGCTGAGGCTCAGAGCTGCTTGAAAAAACAATATTCTCTTTGACTGTGAGAAACATGGACAAATGCAACAAAAAGAAGATCCAAGTCTGTCAGCTGAATCTGTAGATCATAGAGAATGTGTTGAAGGTCTAAGTTACCAAGACAAAGACAAATACTGTAAATACTGTATAAGCTAATCTCATCACAAATGGAGTACAGCTCTTAGAAGACCTACCTGACAAGCTGGTCATGGGGCAAGACAGAAGTGATAAACTTTTCACACAGTTGTCTACATTTGGGAGTAAAAACTGTTCAAAGCTTCTCATCTCGAGGCATACTACTGGAAAAGGAGAAAAATGCTTAGATCGGGTCCAATCGGCTAAAATGGGGCTAAATAGTGGATATCTTGGGCTTGGCGTTGACAGTAGGAAGGGCAGCCAAAAATGTTATGCATGATATTTCATGATCACATGATTACAGTCATTAACTTGTTTTCACCTGGTGTAAAAAAAAAAAAAAAGCATAAAAATATGCTAGGTCTATGTGGATCTAGCACACCTTCACTGGCAGAGGTATCTATTTTGTCTAACAAAATGGTTACAGAGATTTAATAAATATGTCACTGTTTCCATGGTAATGTCTAACTGGAAGTTGAACACAGGTCAAAGCCAGGAGGAGAGGTGATAGGGATTAATTAAAGCACTCTCTCAACTTCCCCCAGCACATTCCTCCTCCTTATCCATTCCAGCTTGAAAGAAATGTAAAAACACAAAAGAGAGAGGTTGACCACCCTCAGACCATAATTACATAATCAAAGGTCCATTACATGGGAGTGCTGTATGAGAAATTGAAACAAAGTGAGGGCACTTTTATAGCTGAGCAAGGGTGATAAATTGTTTCTGTCCCTTCTGTCTCGTTTACTGTTTGATGAATTATTATTATTATCACTGTCAGGATGAGTTTTTTTTCTCCTTATAGGCGTATGTGAACTTGAAGTAAAACCACCCACCACACATGTAAAATAAATACCACAAATAAATTGTATTAGTGTTTGCAGTAGTGTGGAAAGAAACATTTTAAGCAGTCTCATAAAAGCAATATTTTATTCAAATCTCCTCCTAAATGTCTCCTTTTAATTCCAATCCAGTGCTGGATTGTGATCTATTTTTCATTTCTCTGGTTCCTTCTCTAGTCTGTTACGGCAAAGTGTACATTCCTCTTATTTATATTTCTTTTATTAAAGTATGAAGTAAACATTTAGTCCAGAGAACTGACGTCAACACTGGGTCCAACACAGGAAGTGAGTGCCCCTCAAGGCTTTTCTTTTGAAAGAGCTGAAATGGAACACCATACTTCTTTTACAATATTGGGAAAAGGACAAGAACCCTCATGTATTTATGCAAACAAGCACTTAAGAAATTATTAAAGAAATTTGGATAGGAGATTAGGAAACATAAAGTGCTATATTATCTCGATATATTTTATATATCGATTTATTTTCTTTTCGGTTCTTTCTTTCATTTTCTTGGTTGAAGCCCGGAACCGCTTATGTACCACATGCGTAATAACTCGTATGTACAGTATGACCACTGTTTGCTCAGCACAGTGACATTTTCTCAACTGTAAACATTGGCTGGGTTTTTGTTCTTTTAACTCAGTCTCCAGTGTTTGTCCTGAGATTTAAAGGTTGTGGGTTGAAATGTCAGCATGAGTCATTTAGAGTATAGATGGACAGTGTGAGCCAGGTTATGTACTGTAGGCTTGTCCATTCTCACCCACTGACCGCATTAGATTTGGTGAAGCTAAAACTTTTTTTCAACAACTTTGGAATAGTGTACTTGCCAAGGATGTATGATAATGGATTTGATCTTGCTCTTTGATTATTAGTCAGTTCATTGTATGATTTTATTATCTTGATAATTGCTGCTCTTATTTTATCTTTTATTTTACTTTTTTTTTTCATTTCTATGCTTTTTGACACATTTTATCTGTCTAATGATGTGTACACCCTACATCTAATGATACTTGTATGTTGCTTGTCTGCCATACAAATTTATGATCAGAAAATAAACCATAAAACCTGAGAATGTATCTGGTGACAATGAGGAGGCAACATCCTCTGAATTATATGAATTATACCTTCCCAGTGAAATATGGACTTCAGAAGGACTTTGCCTGAAGATGAAGATGACTCCCTCTGTCCTGTTTATAAAGTTTAATTCTATATTTATCAGTTGTTAGTATAGTGCTGGACAGTCATGTCTTTACTTCTTTACTTTATTTACCTCTGTCTCAGTCTCTGAGAATTCCTCTTGGTATACATCTCAACATACACTGATCAGCCATAACATTATGACACCTGGGCACCCTGCTTTTCTGATTGATTACAACATTCATTATTTTGATAATTAGAAAGGCATTTCCATTCCTTTGGGATGTCCTTGTATACATGTTGCATGGTCTGTTTTGATTTATTGAGACGGATTAATTTCCCCGGTTCCAATTTGAAATAGATAGTTATGTGGTGTTCAACTTCCTTCCTGGCCGTGAGTTGAACACCACGTTCAACTCACGGCCAGGAAGGAAGGGAACACGCTGACCCAAAACATGCTGTTATTTGTCACCCCAGTCTTCCGGCTTCATTCATCATGAGCCCTTGAAGGGAAGTCATGTACAACACAAACTGAATGCTCTCAATTTACACTCAATCATGCTATTAAGCTTTAAAGCATTTGTTAATTAGTTAGATGGAAGGAATGAAAATATGGATCAATAAAGTTATGTTAAATGGCCATTTATCAAGAGGAGATGTGTAATTTAATCAACTATATTTCTATTTATATATTTTCCAGCCAGCCATAACTGTGCACACAGTGTTTAAATTTGAGCCTTAGAGTTTGTGTATAATGTTCTTCATGTCCAGCCAAGCCAAGCTCACTGTAGCCTCCTTTGAAGTTTTTTTTTTTTCATATTCAGTATGATGTGATGTATTCACATCACATCATAGCATTCTTCTTGCCTGTATTTAAAGGAACTTCAAGTGGCACCCTGATAGCTCACCTAGAGTTGGCACCCCATGTACCACAGCTGAGTCCTTGGGCCATGGGTTCAACTCTGACCTGTCGCCCTTTGCTGCGTTTCATCCCCTCACCCACTTTACCTGTCACTCTATCACTATCAATTATCTCTATATTTATTGTCTGCCTTATAATATATGACATAAAGAGGGACACTGTGATGAGAATTGATCACAGTTTTTTTCATGCGAGACGATTTTCAGTTTAATGTGACTGAAATGGAATATGACATTTCAAACTGAAGCCACATTTCAGCATTTTATCCAGTTATTACATCTATGTGGCCACTATGTTTGCTAAATGGCAATGTGGTATGTCCTCGTACAAATGCACCACATTTTGATGATAATGAAATTTCATCTCGAGTGGAAACAGCTCTCAGTCTCAAGTGCCCCGATGTTGGTTGATTAGACCTTTAATGGAAGGTTTGATTTTTCTTTTACTCATATTTGCTGATAGGCACACAAAGTTTCAGAGTTATATGAGTCTGTTAAAAGTTTACTGTGTATGACTCATTAGCAAAGTTTACACTCACTGCACACATCCTGGAGTGCTATGCCTTGGGTAGCTCTCAATAGTATTTTTATGAATTTTATAATAATATGCAGGAACAGAATTTATTCTCTCATTACAAATCGGTTGAATATGGTTTTATATATCATCCTACCATCGAATAATGTGATCAGGTTAACATAACTGCAACAAATAACACAGCCTCCTCATTAATGGAGAGGACCTGCACTGAGGTCATCTGGCAACAAAAGTCAGGCGTCATCAGCATAAAAGTGCGTTTTCTGCAACGCAATGCAACATTGTCCAACAAAAACTGCTAGGTACTGTTTTTGACCTCACAATCATTAAGATGGGTAGAGACATTTCCAGGCTTGTAATATCCTTTGTACTATCCTGTGTTTTACTTTCTTTTATTTGGAGGACACAACAGAATGAGTAGTTCTTTGCCACTTTCATTGATTTACTATTGATTTACACTTGATTGATTCTCACTTAACATTCAAATGGTCTCTATTTGGGAATGAATCAAAAAAGCATATACAACGTTGTAGCAAGCCGTGCTACAGACGGGGTTCCCCAGCACACAAAACTCCCGGACCAGACTGTCGGTTCACGCAACTCTTTATTTGAGGCACAAAATGCAGCTGTACCGCTGCGGCAGCTTCCGCCCAGAGGCCTGTCTTTCGGCGTGTGTCTCCCCCGGATCCAGCACACTACTGCCAAGATAAAAGGTAGAGTCATCAGACAATCATTGGCAGGTGAGGTAATCAACTCACCTGGTGCCACTCTCCCAGGCCTTCCCCACACCTCTCCCTCCTGCAGCTGAGCGCAAACCACGCCCACCTCCACATACCCCCACCGCCCGATTTAGGCCGGGGCGTCATCCGGCCTAACCTACTCCCCCCCCCCCCTCCCGGGAGAGCGGGAGAGAAAGTCGGCCACGGCCATCTGCGCCCCCGGTCTATGGACCACCCTGAATTTAAATGGCTGTAGGGCCAGATACCACCGAGTGATCCGGGCGTTGGCATCTTTCATGCGGTGGAGCCACTGGAGGGGGGCATGGTCCGAACAGAGGGTGAACGAGCGCCCCAGCAGGTAATAACGCAGAGCCTCGACCGCCCACCGGATCGCCAAGCACTCCTTCTCGATCGTGCTATACCGAGACTCCCTCTCCGACAGCTTCCGGCTGATGTATAACACCGGGCGGTCGACACCCTGCACCTGCTGGGACAGAACGGCCCCCAGCCCTCTGTTCGAAGCGTCAGTCTGCAGGATAAAGGGGAGAGAGAAGTTAGGTGTGTGAAGAAGAGGCTTCCCACAGAGGGTTTGTTTTACCTTCTCAAACGCCAGCTGACACTGCTCCGTCCACTGGACCGGATCTGAGGCACCCTTTCGAGTGAGGTCGGTCAGGGGGCTGGTCAAGTCTGCAAAGTGCGGAATGAACCGCCGGTAATAACCTGCCAGCCCCAGGAACCGCCTCACCTCCTTTTTGGTCTTGGGCCGTGGGCTGGCTGCAATTGCTGCTGTCTTGTCTACCTGAGGACGCACCTGCCCACTGCCCAAGTGGTACCCCAAATACCGTACCTCCCTCCGTCCAACTGCACACTTCTTCGGGTTGGCAGTGAGCCCCGCCTGCCTCAGTGACTCGAGCACCGCCGCCACACTCTGCACATGCTCCCGCCAGCTGTTACTATGGATGATAACGTCATCCAAGTAGGCGGCCGCATACGCAGAGTGCGGACGCAGGACCCGGTCCATGAGACGCTGGAAAGTGGCTGGGGCCCCAAACAACCCGAAAGGAAGTGTGACAAATTGGTACAATCCATACGGAGTGGAGAAGGCCGTTTTTTCCTTAGACTCTGGAGACAAGGGAATCTGCCAATAGCCCTTGGTTAAATCCAGTGTCGTGAAAAAGCGAGCAGTGCCTAACCGATCCAGGAGCTCGTCGACCCGAGGCATCGGATAAGCATCAAACCGTGACACATCATTCACCTTGCGATAGTCCACACAGAACCGAATAGACCCATCCTTCTTAAGTACCAGAACAATGGGGCTACACCAGGCACTGTTGGACTCTTCTATTACCCCCATCTCCAGCATGGCCTTCAATTCCTTCTGAACCACCTTTCTTTTGTGTTCAGGTAACCGATAGGGCCGTGAACGCACTGTCACGCCCGGGTGAGTCTCAACATGATGCTGTATGAGATTTGTGCGTCCTGGCAGGGGGGAGAAGACGTCAGCAAAACGCTGTTGCAACGCGGCAACGTCTGCTCTCTGGGACGGTGTGAGATGGTCACCACAATGGAGTGAGGCAGGATTGGTGGAATTTGGGACCTCAGGCCCCAACTCATCTCTCTCTTTCACCGTGGTCACCAGAGAAACAGGCTCCGCCTCTCTCCACGCTTTAAGGAGATTGAGATGGTAAATCTGTGCTGCACCTCCCCTGTCAGAACGCCCAACCTCATAATCGACATCACCCACTCGCCGTGTGACCACAAAGGGCCCTTGCCACTTGGCGAGTCATTTGGAGCTGGAAGAAGGGAGTAATACAAGTACTTTGTCTCCCGGTGCAAATTGTCTGAGTCTAGTTCCTCTGTTGTACAGGCGCTGTTGACGCTCCTGGGCCCTGAGCAAATTCTCCCGTGACAACCGGCCCAATGTGTGGAGTTTTGCTCTCAGGTCCAGGACGTACTGAACCTCATTTTTACTTGGGCTCGGACCTTCCTCCCAGCTTTCTTTAACAAGGTCCAGAACCCCCCGTGGTGTCCTGCCAAACAGCAGTTCAAAGGGAGAAAATCCCGTTGAGGCCTGGGGCACCTCGCGCACTGCAAACAACAGAGGATCTAGCCACCTATCCCAATTACGGCCGTCATCGTGCACAAACTTACGGATCATGGACTTCAGGGTTTTGTTCAGACGCTCGACAAGGCCGTCGGTCTGAGGGTGGTACACACTAGTCCGAATTGACCTGATGCCCAATAACCCATAAAGTTCCCGGAGTGTACGTGACATAAACGAGGTGCCCTGGTCCGTTAGGATTTCTTTTGGGATCCCAACTCGGGAGATGACCTGGAACAGTGCCTGTGCCACACTCTTTGCAGAGATTGTGCGCAGAGGCACTGCTTCCGGATATCGAGTTGCATAATCCACTAGGACTAATACAAAGCGATATCCTCGTGCGCTCCGGTGAAATGGCCCGATGAGGTCCATGCCAATACGCTCAAATGGAACCTCCATGAGTGGTAATGGGCGCAAAGGCGCTCTCGGGATGGCCGGTTGGTTAACCAACTGACATTCCGGGCAAGATGCACACCAGCGGCGTACATCTGCCCTAATGCCAGGCCAATAGAATCGGGCCATTATCCGGTTAAGTGTCTTCTCATACCCCATATGCCCCGCCATTGGGTTATAATGAGCCGCCTGGAAAACTGTTTCCCGGCGGCTTTCCGGCACCAACAACTGGGTGATTTCCTCTGCTGACTGAGTGTCACGACTCACTCTGTATAACCTGTCCCTAACCAATGCAAAATGCGGATATGTCTGCGCTGCATCAGGGTGCACCAACTGACCATCAATTTTTATTACTTGGTCAAAGGCAAAGCGTAGAGTATTGTCGCGAGACTGCTCGAGTGGAAAATCTTCCGTGGAGCGCAACATGGGGACCTGTGGAGCCTCTGGCGGAGGCACCACAGATCCCCCCTCCCCCCTCTGCAGCGTCGGACAACCTCGCGTCACCACTGAGCACAGCGCACATATCCCATGTCCCTACCGGCCGTGAACGCACCCCCGCACACTGCCCCACTAATCGATTAAACCCAGGCCAATCCGTGCCCAAAATCAGGGGGTGCGTCAGGCGGGAACTAACCGCAGCCTTAACAATATGCTTTTTACCCATATATCTAATTTCCACGGGTACAACCGGGTATCTGTGAATATCCCCATGTACACATCTAATGTCCACCCACGATGCCTCTACCAAAGCCCCGGGTCGAACCAGGTGCTGATGAATTATAGACTGCGTGCAGCCCGAATCCACCATTGCCTGATGTATACCCCCTTGGATCCTTACCGGGACGCTGTATGTCCCTCCTGGACCGGGGGAGGGTGTTGGTGGGCCATCAACCCGGACCACCTGTCCGACCTCCATGAGAGGGCACTCCCTGCGGAAATGCCCGGGCTGCCCGCACCGCCAACACTCCTGCCCTGACGCCTGAGGAACCCTCTGTGGGCCGAGAGCGGCACCCGTAGCGGCTGGACCCTGGGAAGGAGAGAGAGAAGAGGTTTGGTTACTGAGTGGCAGAGGCAGAGGCCGGGCAACAGTTTCCAGTCGGGGGGTAAGCGGAGGTGGAGGTCTCCCTGCGGGGCGCCGGCACGGGTCGGGGCGGGTGCAGAGGGCCGCCTCTCCGGGGGCTCGGTCCCCACCGTGGACAGCCAGATGATCCTCGGCGAGGGTGATGGCGGCCTCCAAATCCACCGGTCGGTGGCACCGCACCCACTCCGCGGTCCCGGTCGGGAGCCCCTCCACAAACTGCTCCAGCACCACCAGCTCCAGCATCAGCCTCTCACCGCTGGATCCCCCCGGCTGCAGCCACCTGGTGGCAGCGTCCTTCAGCTGCTGCGCAAAGACGAATGGACGGTCAGAGGATCCCAGTGTGGCGGACCGGAACCGGCGGCGGTGATCCTCGGGGGAAAAACCCATCCTGTCTAGGATGGCTCTTTTGACGTTCCGGAACTCCCCCCGAGCAGAAGCTGGCAGGCCGAGCGCCGCAGTCTGGGACTCTCCTGACAGCAGGGGAAGCAGGCGCACGGCCCACTCCGCCGCCGGCCAGCCACAGGCCTCCGCCGTCGCCTCAAACATTTCGAGGAAGGTTTGGGGGTCATCCGCCGCTGTCATCCGGTGCATGGTGATGCCGGAAAAGGAGGAGCATGGAGAGGATGGAGACTGTGCCCCCGACCGGGCCAGCAGTCCCTCCAGCAGCTGGTTCTGCTTCCCCGCCTGGTTCTGGAGTGCCTCCAAATGCCGTCTATTTGTTGCCGTCTGCTGGCTGTGTATTGCCGTGATCTGCCCCAGCATCTCTCCCAGCAGTGTGATCAGCTGTGATGGCTGCTCCGTAGGCGGCTGCGGGACCGGCTGCGGAGGCGGCTGCTGTGGAGGCTGCTGCATGGGCGGTTGTGGATCGGACATTTCCGTGTGCTGCCCCACGTTGGGCGCCAGTGTAGCAAGCCGTGCTACAGACGGGGTTCCCCAGCACACAAAACTCCCGGACCAGACTGTCGGTTCACGCAACTCTTTATTTGAGGCACAAAATGCAGCTGTACCGCTGCGGCAGCTTCCGCCCAGAGGCCTGTCTTTCGGCGTGTGTCTCCCCCGGATCCAGCACACTACTGCCAAGATAAAAGGTAGAGTCATCAGACAATCATTGGCAGGTGAGGTAATCAACTCACCTGGTGCCACTCTCCCAGGCCTTCCCCACACCTCTCCCTCCTGCAGCTGAGCGCAAACCACGCCCACCTCCACAAACGTTTTTTTATTTTGTCACATCCGGCTCCCTCACAGTGAGTCATTATCTAAGGTGACTCACAGGAATCCGTTTCTTCCTTGTGAGCCTCTTGGTTTTTAATTTGCCTGGTAAAAAAATTAGAACATAAACATGAAAATCATTCATTTGACCCTTATATATTCTTTTCTCTGGTACTTTCTTTAAACTTTCGCCTCAGATCATTGTCCTACATTTCCACAATGTATCAAAAAATTATTTTAGTTTGTTTCTAGACTGGCTTTTACAACACATACCATAAATTACACAGGTTTCACATATCAGATACCACCACTTTTCAGATAAATCTAATACATGTTTTACCACACGACAACAATGTAAACTTTATAAAATAGCGCTTAACACATTCACTGTGATGGATGGACCATTCCAAATCAAGTCTCAAGTTTTTCCAAGTTAATTTTCACACAGAATCAGTTACAGCTACAGTACTCTATTGTGTTTTACCTCTAAGGTACTGTATGTCATCATCGCAAAGAATAAAAGGCTGATCTGATGAGCATGATAATATATTCAGTTATGCAAAATGAGGATGGAAATAGATGCTTCAAAGTTGCATGTAAACAGCTTGATTGAACTGATTTCACAATCAATGAAAGGCCAATCAGTAGACTAACGCATGAAAGTGTAGTTCGTAACTCCCTGCTGCACAGAGGCGACCAAGCTTCAACACTCAACCAAGCAACACTTCACCATCTCGACTGGAGCAGCTGGAGCATGTAATTTCTTGAACTGGAGCTAAAGCCTTCATCACAATCCCCTTAGCTTGAAATTCCTGTCCCTTCTCAATATGTGGGAAGCACACAGTGGGGAAAGGATTGACTATTAGCTTATAAAGGAACTTTTATTATATTTTCTCGCAGCGGAGTGTTGACACAGGGGAGCAGGCTCTGGCAGGCATTGATCCTTGACCAGCAGGGGTATAATGTTCCCTGCATGTGTTGTAAGAGGCAGGGGACTTCATCACTGAACCATCGCTGGGTACTAATTTTTTCTACATGAAATGGACACTGGTAATTTCTACTGTTTTACTTTCTCTGTTACCACCAATTGCCCTCTGTCATACCACAATAAAGGAAAAGGCATTATTTCTCATAAACAGCATTGAAATAATTAAACCTGATGGCCATAACATTGACATCATACTATTGTTAAATCTTTTCTCGTAAATTCCACTGTTTATGGTGTGTTAGGTCCAAGAAAGAGTCAGGAAAATCCCCCACAATAAAAAAGCAAATTGTCCTTTTTACAGGAAAGCAAATACATATTTTATTACATACATATTTCCCAACATGTCAAATTATTCCTTTCATGTGTAAGTACATTTCCTTTTAATTACATGTTTTCACTGTCAACAAGAAGCAGACTTACCTCCTGGCTGAGGCTTGGTTTGCTTGCTTTCATTTTCGCTATGTTATTTATATGGTTGGAGTCTAATTTCAAGTGTCCTGAAATGAACTGCTTATAAGCCTCACAAATAAAAATCAATACTGAAATAATATTGGCTTTTTTAGAGAAACATTTTAAGTTCCCCTCCACTCAAAAATATGTTTTTGTTCGTTCCTACAGTTGGATGTCTGAGACTCACTGTGCAGAATGACAGGGGGCGGGGCCTACAAGCATGATTTGTGACATCACAAATCGTTTGGAAATCAATCCTGGTCCAGCATGCAATTTATACAAGTGTGATGTAGAAACTTGAAACCACCAGTGCACATACACTTAACAGAGAAGTAGGAAACATCTTGTGTCCAGCAGGAAAAAAATTAAATAAATGTGCATATGCAATTTCTAATGAAGTAGAAGTAGATGCTTTTTTAAGGATTGTAATGCCACATTATACTTCTTGTGGAGACACATTGCTCCAAGCAGACTATTTGTATTATGTCTTAATACATGTCTGAGGGGCTGTCTTCAGTATATACTGTTTGTCCCACGTGTTGTTACTTCCATTAATATAATTTGGTGAGTAATTAGGCAAGCAGAGGCACAGCCAATGTGTGTTTGTCACTGCAATGTAAATAATTATTTTTTCCTTCTGTAGTATTTATTTTAAGATACTCTAAAGCTACACCCAGGGGGAATCAACATGAATCAATCTGCACCATATGGCTGCCAGAGAATTCAGCTGGATGTGTGTGTGTGTGTGTGTGTGTGTGTGTGTGTGTGTGTGTGTGTGTGTGTGTGTGTGTGTGTGCAACCACAGGATACACTCTGGTTTTGCAATCTGTGACTTCCTGTGCTGACAGCGAGTACCATCATATGTAGAACACAGATTTCCATACAGATAGACTAGATAAGTATATCTACAAATAAACAACATAAAATGAACTGCAGATTTACATCAGAAAAGCAAAATATCTATGCATAGATCACAATGTATTCGTGTTGTGACTACTTAAATCTAAAATATTGTACCCACAAAATACATTGCAAGCAGCATGACAATCGTTATCTGAAGTAAAGATGCAGTAGTCATGCTGTTAGAGTGTGCCTTGAGAGCTTTAGTGAGAAGGGAGGTTTTAAAGTGACACATTAAAAAAAGCAAGCCATAGCTGCAGCAGCCGGGTACTGAGGTCAGGTCACACAAGGAGAGGCAGCTGCTGTGTTTATCTCAAGTTTTGGCGCTGTGGAGCTTCAGGGGTGAGCCAGGAAGTCTCCATGTACGCTTAGAGATCCATCACCATATGGTTAGTTTTAGCTTCTCCGCAGCCACGCAGTTACGGTTTGTCAGATCATATTAATCAATTACAGATGACATATTCCTTACAGTTCATATAAAGATACGGAGAAATTTGAAAAAGGAACAAATGATATTCAACTCATTGGGCATGTGTAAGAGGAAATGTAAATTACTGCTGTCTATTAATGTGGGAAATCCACAAGGAGACGTTTTTTGTGCTGTACACACATTCACGTACTTTCTTATTGGCATGGTTACAGTGTTACACCTGCCACATTTAGCCAACTACTTTATATTAACCCCCAGCACAGTATATGTCCTGAGACAAATTATCTGTTCTTTTAAAACCTTGCAGCACTACGAATAATTGTCAAAATTAGCTAATTGTCCATCTGTCTTTGATAACTGGAAATGGTTTTAATTTAAGCGGTCAGTGAAAGGTTGTCATCTGAAAGTGATGAATTTCAAATATCAGGTTTAACAAGCATCTGATTACATCTTAATCCAGTGAGCAGACTGGCTATTAACTAATTGGTGTTGAGGAGTACACTTGAAAAGGGATAGATCACTATTAAACACATGACCACATCTTCACCCTTGGTCACGTCATGCTGAATGGGTTATTTGTCGTGCAAAACTACTCAAGCAAAGCTAAAAGGGACAAACAGCAGAATAAGGAGTGTTCAGTGAGAGATCATAAGCAGTGACAAGAGTGTGTGATATGAAAAACAAGTCATACAAATATAAAAAACTCACTTCAACGCTTGTAAACCTTCATCTCATGAAGTGATTCATACAATAACATCATAATCCATATCAGAGCCTCTGTGACACAAACAGAAATAACGCAAAGACTGAAACGTTATTATTTCTTTCCCTGGATGTTTGTTCTAAGAAGAGACAGGGATTTAAGGGGGGGCAATCAACATTAGAGAAAAAACGTGTGCACCAGCAGAGAAATAGGTGTCAATGATTTCCAGTGAAATGTAGATTAGAAATTTGTATTGAGGACACACTATAGGATCAGGCTGTAATGGCCAACATCAGCGCAGGAAGGTAAAGAGACAAATCTATAGAAAAATTCAGATTATTTTTATGTGAACTGCTTCTTGTGCTGTTTTGGTTTGTTATTGTCTTCTCGAGTCCTGTCTTCAAGTTTTAAAACGGCATCACTCGATCTCGTTTCAGTGACTTTCTCCAATATCTTCAGCTTGTTGTTTTCATTACTGTGACAGATTCTCTTCAGTCTAGTTAACTGACTGACAGATATGTTTTTTTCAAAGTAAGTGGATGGAAACTGTTTTTATGCAGGAGTGTAACTGAGATCTTTAGATTTAGTGTACAGGTTTGCTACCATTTTCAGCAACTTTGGAGGATGATAGCAGCAGTGAGAGTGAACCAAAACATTATTGTGGCCGCAAAACCAAAACAATGACAACAACTGAGTACCTTTAAATGTATACTTTGTCTAAACGTGGTGAAATGCTGACTGGATATTAACATGATAATTCAGACATTTACTCAGCACCTCATTTGAGACCAAAAGACATACTGGTGAGGTTAAGAGATACTGTACTTCAAATTTCACCTATAAATAGCCAAACATATGAGTCACCTAAAGTGATGACAGGTTACGCAGTTCACTGTTCATATATATTCAGTATCCATGGCAACATTGATCAAAACGTCATACATATTGAATTACAGAAAAAGAATAACTAGAAAGATGAATTAAGTATTTTATAGCTGTTGCTATAATTATATGAAACTGTATTTTAACTATGAACAGCAGAAACAGAACAAGAAATGTCTTCCTACAGAATGTTTTTGCTGACTCTGCTGCACTTCTAGTAGATGTTACCAACACTAGTAAACATGATTTGTTCTCTCTATTGGCTGTTACATATTTGCTTAAAAGTCACACGAGCTAGACTTTTCCCAAGTCTACTGTATTTATAAAAATCTCATTCCATCAGCCAATGACTCAAAGAGTTTGGGTCAATATTCCCCCGGCTCTCTGGACTTCCTGGTGCAGGTCCTCCTCCTCCTCCTGTTTCTTCATGCGTTTTGCATTTATCAGAATGGCACACTAATATAATAACTAACTAATAGACTTATCTGTGTCTATATGTACGTGTGACATGAAGTAAACATGGCCTCATTAGACAGTTTCAGGTTTTGGTTTGTGTACCAACAACTGAAAAATGCTGGGATGATTTAAGAGTGTTACTCTTCACTTCCATCTTTCTGTGCCAAAAATGCAAAATAAATTCTGAGCTGACACAGAGATACAGACACACAAACACACAAAGGGAAAAGGAGCGATACTGTGAATGTTTGCATACTCGTCTCTCTCTGTATCAATAGGCTCCTGTATGCAAACCTGAAGGCTCAAACATTGAAACAAGCTGTACTGTGAATCTTTGAGGAATCAACTGTCTTTTTTTTTTCTTACTTTCAGGTCAATATGTATGCCACTGCCACAAAAAACAACAACAAATTTTAATTAACGCTACATCATTCAAATGTCCTACAGACAGTCCACTTTAAATGAAGACCAGAAGATAAGCATATGGTCACGCTCATGTTATACTGACACTATCTGGAAAAACTGGAGAGCAGGAGAAGGAGAAGAGAAAGAGGAAAAAGGAGCGGAGGAGCTGAGAAAGACAGAGATGGGAGGAGGAAAAAAAGAGAAGAGGAAAGAGAGAAACAGGATGAAGAGGAGAAAGAAAGAGATAAGAGGGAGGTCAGAGGATGACAGATGAAAAGACAACTGGAGTAAGAACAACCGGTGAGAGAGGAAAGAAAACGACACTAAAGGGACATAAAGAAGTGAGAAAGTCAGGAGGGTCCACTCTCCAACCTGAAAACGTACACTGATGGATCAGATCATCATCATGGTCTTACTGAAGCATCATTAGTGTTAGTAACACCTGCACTAAAGACAGGTAAAACTGCTGTGAAAAAGGCCAACTGAGAACTCACAAGTATGATACTCCCACACTATTAGAAAACTATTTAACATTTTCAATTTAGATTATTAGGTGCTGCTTCTTTTACTTTGTGTTTCCTGTGATTGGTGTGGTGTGGAGACGCCGCGAGGTGAAACAGAAACTAGTGGGTCAGCGTGTCACATGTCACGAGGAAATACAGGAAGTACCTGTCAGCTACGGACGAGCTGAACAATCGCAATGAAGACACGAGTACCTCAGCGAACCGACAGTGTCTCCGTGCCCTAGAGCTACAAGTCAACTCATGTTGATGCCACCACACTGTGTCAAAAAGCGAATGTTACCAAAATGGAAAGAGCAGTCAGAATCGTCTTTTTGTCGGTCATTTTCTCAGCGTCGCGGGTGAGTTAATGTTAATGTGAATGTTAATGTGAATGTTAATGTTAATGGGGGGGGGGCGTTAGCAACCGAAGGGCCGGAGAGCCGAGCTCACCGTCGATAAAGCGCCAGCAGATAAACACTGTTAACTGTGTAGCTCATATTCCTAGTGTGTCACAGTCTGTTGAGCTGTGGTGAATTGTGTATGTGAAGCTTTGTTGTTCGGTGACAACGAGACCACTGACTGCTGTCGGTGAGCTAACGTTAGCGCTGTCGTTAGGTCGGTTAGCCTCTGCTTGTGTGGTTAAAGCTAAGAAAACTGAGTGTTTGTGCTGCACTGGTGTTACATGATAAGGACCGACGTTAATGTAACGTTAGATAAAGGTTTCCAAAACTGACATTAAATCGTAAAAAGGTCGTAAACATATAGATAATACAGCTCGCTAACGTGAAGTCTAAGTTGAGGTTTGGCAGAAGGTGCTTTCCCCGACGTCCTCTATCACGTCACCAACAAGGAAGTATTTCTGTGTTTACTTCACAAAATTGATGATCACATTACAGTTCTGTGTTTGTCAGCAGTTAACGATACCTGTTGATATTAAATCTGTAATGGGAAACAAAAGTCTACTGAAAGCTTGAAAGTGGATTCAAGTCCGCCTGGTATTTATTACAGCTCACTAACAGTAACATCATTTGAATGGCTGTATTTGCGTGTAGGGCAAGTCTTCATTATACATTAATATGTCTTGGATTAAAATGTAAATCTGTAACCTAGTAGTCTGAAAAACTTCAAATTGGTACTGAATATAATCTGGTTTCAATCTAGAGTTCACAACCTCTTTGGTTGGTTTGAGATCCCTTAAAATATTAGCAATGTGTATTTGTTACACGCTACTACACATGTCCTTAGAGTAGGCATGAGTTGCATGCAGTTCAACCAACAACGGATTTATTTTCTGGTT